TCGTCTCAAGCAGCTTGTCATCCGCAAGGCGGAACACCTCCACCTTAAGAGGGCGACAGCACTTGATCATTTCATCTTCGCTATCCTCGCCGAAGCCCCAGAGAGACAAGTCGCCACCAGGACACGTGCCTAAAATCATCAGCTTCCGGGAAAAAGAATACTGAGGAGAGATGAATAGCGAGCTAGACTTACTGAGAGCCATGAGTAAATCCTGCTCAGCCAAGAACTCCAGGTGGTCACCAGGTTCAGCAGGGCAGGGGTTCATGAAATACCGACCCTGCTCATCAAGACCGGTAACTTGGAAGATATTAATTACATCATGAACATCTTGCTCGTTCAGCCCATAGGGGAGAACTGCTCGCGTCAGATTCGAATGGCACTGATAATTGTACTGGCCTCCACTCAACACCGTATTAATATACGGGTCGCAGCGAGTGCCTAATAGGTCATGCACCCGACCACCATGCTCATCTTCACCGTACCAGGAGAGCGTGTCCTTGATTATGGTGGCAAGGGGACGCATGTAAGGAAGGTTGGACCAAAGTCGGTCATATGTCGAGACATGGGAGGCGTGAAGCTGCTTGGTGCGGCTTGCCCAAAACCGCTCTCGTGGGTTATCCAAGTTCCAGATGTTCAAGTCACCTATTGTAAAGGATCAATTTGTCAGCATCTGCTGCTTGGTTAAATAAAACATTCCTATCTTTCTGGGCTGTGGAAATGAAACCAGCGTGCCACTGAAGCAAGGCTATGTGGTTTGTCCTTTCATACCAACTTGAGGGCCTTCGGGGGTGCTAATCCTGACAATTGAGCCTGCCGGGGCCTTCCATGCTTTCCCCGATCGGATAGGCAATGTGAACTCTTCAACTAAGACTCTGGGTGCTTCACGAAGCCTGTCATAGAGCTCACGATTCACCCTGAGCGGGGAGACATCACTCGAAGGTAAGTAAGCTGGACTAGGCTTGGGGATTGGTTTGCGGTTGGCGCGTCGCTCAGCGTCTGATGCGGGCATTTTGGCGGTGGTGTGAATCTTTGAGTTGAGACAATTTCACCCACAGACGGTAACATCGCAGGATGAACTTATAGATAGCGAATGTTACCCCACTAGGCAAATCCACTTCGGCATATATATAGTTGCCGCTGATACAGCAACGGCCGACGCTAAAAGCCCGCTGTACATACGTTCAAGTTATCAGCAGCTGGCATTTTAGGGTGTAGAGGTTGTAGGAGGATATCAACAGCAACAAGTTCTCCCCTTTCTGATTCATTAAACATCTGTAATGAACAATAGAGAAATGCTCATAATAAGGAAGTTACCGTCAATCTCAAGCAACGGGAAAAACAATGTTCCGTCTCGTATCATGACAATCTAATCCGATTGCTTTATGCGGTTTAGTGGACAATCGGAGTTCTCCTCACCGCTCCGACCTGTGGTACAGATTTCAATCCTATGTATTTAGGAATAAACACTGTCAAGTAAATACTAGTCATTAAAACTCGGAAGGAGTCTTTTTTCCAGTCTCGAGAATGAAGCAATTATTTCTTACTGTGCAAAACGGCAAGCTGGCCGTAAAAGAGCCAGAAAGCGAACTCAAGATCGTTACACCGCCCCGACATGAGGTTGATCATGAATGGGAGCCGAGTCATCTGGACGCCATCTGCGTTGAAGAGTTAGTTATCATACTCGCCACATCCTCCGCCATTCCCTCAATACCCGACTGCAGAAGGCGACGAAGAACTCTGCGCTCTTCAAGGCGCTTCACAAACCAATATCAACTATCCAACGACAATGGCATTTTGACCCTCAAAAAACGGGTGCTCAGTTTCCAAAAAGTACTACTTTTAGGAGTACACGATCTCTGCAGAAGGACCATACAAAAGCAGGGAAACTTCAACAATAACCCATCGCTGCTCAGACTTCCCGCAGAATTGAGACTTCGAATCTATCGCCATCTTCTACTTAGAGAGGCTCGGTATCCTATATTTCGTGGTGTCCATGATTTCCATATCCAAATCAATGATTGGAGAATGGAAAGATATAGCGGCGAGCTGTGGCCTGAAATCCTTGCGACCTGTCAACTCATTCATCGAGAAGGGACACCAATACTCTATGGCGAGAATATGTTTAAGCGGGTGTTCTCCTGGCCATCGAAACGTCTTTTCGGCAGCATTCCATTGCCCCGATCTCTTACTTCTAAACTTAGCAATAAGAGCATATCGCATATCTCTGCAGTCTGGCTTGTGGACCAGCCAGGCATGTGGCTTGATGATCAAAGGGAGCTAAAAGTCTTTCAAGATTTCCCAGGCTTACAACAGGTTGAGTTTAATATTTCATTTGCGGCAACAAGTCCCGACGAGCACGAGAAGCTTAAAATACTGCTGGAAGATTGCTTGAAGTCAGTCGATCGGAAATCAAAACCTTTAAGGCGTTGCAGATACCGCCTTCGTCTTCCTTGGGATTCCGATTTGAGGGCTTGGTCAAAAGGAGGAGCAAAAGGATTTGGTCCACACCAGAAGCTGAAGGCAAATGTGGAACACATCATGAAAGTCAACTCACTGTTTCCTCACCAAAGGATCACGTGGCATTTTGAAACATTACTTTCGGGGTATGTTGGACCAGACGGCAACGTCATATTTATAATTGAGGATGTTAGAACAGGCGAGGAAGGCTCTAGGAGACCAAAGATCAACTGCTCGATCAATGAAGATGGTAAAATTACTCATACAAGCGTGGAGAAGAGTGCGTAGTAAAACCTTTGGGCCGCCTTTTACCATTTTTTAGGTGGATAGGTAGTCTAGTTGTATAGCTGAACTAGGTTTGCCGCTTATTCTTATAGCTAGCTTATTCAAATTCCATCTCTCTTGAAGTCCGCCTTCTCTATCATATGAATCTGTCTGCTATTTCTCCCAGATGGCTAGAGAATAAGGGTAGGCATGAGTTGGTATAAAGCTTTCCATCTGCGCTTCAACTCTGACCTGCAGCGTTTCCAGAAATAGATGGCTTGGGAAGCGCTCCTGCTCCGGGGCCTGCAATTGTTAAGTAATCTTTATATATCCAACATTATCTCTCACAATGATCTCCGTTCCAAAGAGTGCCGAAGTGTTCTGCAAATGTGCTAAAATACGCTGCGCTTCTGCCGCTGGCGCCACTTTTGGCATGGTACGATCTGGGAGAGATGTATCGTTTGTTAACTGGTTATGCACGAGGGGATGTAGGAGAACCTCGGCCGGCAACCCGTTCTCAAACTTGGTCTCGGCAATTATTCCGTCGTCCCACTCGATTGGAAGATTGTATCCACGAAACGACAGCCCGAGGCTATAGGTGAGAGATCCCAAGCCGTAGAAGATGGGGCGCGAATTGTAGACCTCGATGCCTCTCAAGGTATGCGGTCCATGTATCAACACCACATCAGCACCAGAATCAATTGCAGCATGGCTGATGTTTCGTGTGTAACTGGCAGGCACGCTTGAAGCGGGCGGAAGGGGGATATCTGAGTCTGCAGCGCCTGATTCGGACTCATGGGCATGCAGCGAGAAAATTGTGGCGTCGGACTGTTTCTTGGCCACTTTGATTGCATCCAAAATGCCGGTGTAGTCGTCCGGGTTGATATCCCATGAGATAGATGACCCAGACTCTTCTCCTAGCATCCAGTTAGACCAGGCAATTTGAGTCTGGCCAGTATACAACGTGATGCTAGTCTCATCGCCTGCCAAGATTTGCCCTTGAGACTTGGCAATGGTTCGAATCTGGTCGAATCCTGCGGCATCGACGACAGTGAAAGGTGTCGCGCGAAGAACGCTGACGCCAGGTCGAGGCCGCAAGTGCTCGTCTGGATCACCGGGCCCAGCAACAGACTGGGGTGTGTGCGTGCCCGCTGCGCTCACGAGTGCCAGCCGCCTGTTGCCCTTGGTAACATAGACCGCTCGTCGCGCTTCGTCGAGTCCAACACCGGATCCCGACGTCGAGATGCCCACCTTGGCGAGGTTCTCATGGGTGCTGATCATACCTGCCTCGACAAAGTCCCAAGCATGGTTATTAGCGTGGGAGGCAAGGTTAAAACCGTACTTGGCGAGCAAGGTAGCTTGTTCGGGTGAGTAGTATGGACCGCCGCCGACGCCTCCGTAGAAGTTGTCACCGCCGTTTTCAGAGGCAGGATATCCGGTGAAGGACTCCTCCTTTAGTATCTGCCCTTCCATGTTGAAAAAGGCAAAGTCGGCTGCTAGGGTGATGTTCCATACCGCAGCAGTGCGAGTGTCATTTGTAGCGACTACATCCCCAATCAAGTCTCCAGTTGCAGCTAGCGTCCATGATCCGGAGTTTGTTGGGGCTGTGGCCCTGCAGAGTGGCCATTGGAAAGCCAAGCTTGCGAAGGGGAGCACCAACCAGCGTGATGGTTTAGCAACGACCATGACTGATGATGGCTCTGAATGGCAACGATATGCTGGGGTCTAAACACTTGGCTTGTGGTTGTTCTAGAACGTATCGAAACGATTGGTAGAACTTCAGGACTGTGATGTGGTGTGGGAGCGGTTTCTGCTGTAATGGATGGCACTTTGGCTCATCTTGTTTGAATGTCTGAACGCCTGGCCGAGAATACAAATGCGCATTCATCCGGGGTTGTTTCTCGGCAAGATGATGATGTCGTGAGCCCAGACCGGCGACCGCTGCCGCCCACGGGGGGGTCCACCTTCCTGTTCGGGTTTGCGAGACCGCGCGCTTCGTCGCAGCCTTTTACCAGTACCGACTTGGATGACATCTTTCTCCATGTGCCAGTGACAGACTGCGGACCAGGGCACCAGGCTGGGTTAACTTTTGCTGATCGCAGCGTCAGCTCGGCACTCACTTGAGAAGGGTTTCGAGACAAGGTCAAGGTTTGCATGAGCAGACACGAGGACTAGACTACACCTGCAGAGTTATAAGATGTGGTTTGAGATGCGGTGAGCTTCTCCATCTCACCCTCCCATTTGGATAAAAGCTATTATTGCCGAAAGCTATTGTGACGATGATCTGGACCAAGGCTTTTGCTCTATCTTTGCAGTTGGCCTGCGCGGCGACATGTGCTCCCAAAGCATCATCGCCGGTAAACTCTACTCTGCCATCAATCGACGTGGAACTGACTCCCATTTTGGACGTTGAGAACAACACGAGCCTCAATGGAGAGCTTGTTATGGACATCCATTTTGCCAGTAACGAGACCCTCCTCGTGCTGCCCCTCGAAATGGCAAATGCACCATCTGCGCAATATACCACCGAGACACTGGAAGCGTGGGACCGTCTTGGCCAGCTCAAGCTGATCCAGAGCGACGGCACTGGATCAGACAGCCAGCCTAGCAGGTTTTGGGCTGTACAAAGAGCCACACAAGGTCCTGTGGTAGTCCGGTTCAAAGCTAAGCCGCGCCAAATTGATCCGGACGTCATGGTAGGGCCGTTGTTCGACATCCGCGCCAACGGCGACGGTCTCTTGGGCTCGACCTGGGCCCTTGTTCCACTACCGCCTGATGACACAGCTGAGTATCAGTTCTCCTTGAGATGGAATCTCAAGCATTCGCCACAGGATGCCAAGGCCGCTTGGACATGGGGTGAGGGCCCGGCGCCTGTCACAATCAACGGCACATCAGCAACGTTTCTTTACACGTTTTGGGCCGTAGGCTCAATGTCTACCTACCCAGGCGACTCGGATTCTGAGCCATTGAGCCCCGACTACAGCATGTATTGGCTCGAGCAACCCCCCTTTGACGTGGACGCGACAGCCGCGTTCGTGGACAAATTCTTCAACTATTCATCCATCTTTTGGAAGGACACAAGCGGAGAGCCATACCGGGTCTTCATTCGACGCAACCAAGAAACCGGGACTGGAGGGACGGCCTTGTTGAGGTCGTTTACCTTTGGCTGGCACGACGCAAACAGCACCACCCAAGACAGGCTTGAACTGCTCCTGTCTCATGAAATCACACATAATTGGCCTCAATTGAATGACGTAAACGCTGCCGGAACTCGATACACTGAAGGGACTGCCGAGTACTACTCACTGAGGTTGCTGTGGCGAAATAACCAGATCTCAACTGAAACCTACCTGTCAGAAATGAATTCTAGACTCGAAGCATACTACCTGAATCCTTATGTTAATCTAACTGACGAAGATGCGTATAATCAAGCATGGGAAACTCGGCAAGCACAAAGAATTCCCTATGGTCGTGGGCTCATCTATCTCACCAACGTCGATGCCCAAATGCGCGCTATTTCGGATGGAACAGAAAGTCTAGATACCATTGTGTTGGAGCTCTTGGATATTTGTCGAGCGTCTTCATCTCAGTGTACCGAGGCCGGGCTGCTGAAACTATTGGACAAGCATCTTGGTCAGGGAGCTGTGGAGGAGTATCACACAGTCGGCACCGGCCAACCGCTCATCCAGCCTCTTCCAGACAGCCTTGGTCCGTGTTTCGAGGTTGTCGAGACACAGACAGGCCCTTCTGTATTCCAATGGCGCTTCAAGAATGGCAAGGATGCCTCTAGTGAAGGTTGTCAGATCTAGGGGTTTCATTTTTAGACAAGGTGGCAGATGCGATCTGCCTAATTGAATGTATGAAGCCTGTGTTACTGCCATTACAATGTAACAGATGTACTCAATATCGTAATTTGTTCCAATGTGACGCTTCGTATATGTTGTAGCATCTGATTCCGCGAACAGATGAATTTAGGCTCGATGAGCAAAGTAACTCAATATGGAGAAAAGACAACGAACATCGTTCCTTAGTGTCTGTTGCTTTCCACTTCTGGTAAGTGGTTCATAGTTCTATAAATTGGCATATTACCACTTAAGCTCGATCTATAGGTACTTTGAATCGAACCGAAGGTGTGACCGTAGGTAGTGGTTATTTTCGAACGAATATAAGTACTAGAGTATGAAAGTAGCTTCAATGGTAAACACGAATTAAGAGAACATGCAGCTAGCAAACCGATACAAAGGCTCATCCTCCTGACTTGCGCGCCGCGTCCTGTTGCTACCCAAACTCTTTCGATATGTAAGGTAGGTACGTGCAGGTCTCTTGCTGATCCATTGTGTTGAAATGATGGGTATAGCCTCTTCATTACGACTTTTTCCAATATGCGTTAGAGCATTTTATTTTTAGAATCTCATATAGTAAATAATCTACAGCCTCTCTATTCAGTGTTTAGTTGTCGGGCTCTGGCAGCTTCCATTGCTGTGAACTTTATTCTCTTTCTCTTACGTACAGTCTCTCTTGTATGAAAACCGCGCTACTTCGGCCTCTGTGACCATCTTCAAGAAAGCAAGACTGTCAACTGTGCATCGTCCTACGAGACTCGGCTACTAGTTGGGAAAGGATAGAGGTCTTGTCCTTCAACAACTCCCCCGGCGTGGCAAAGTTGGCCACACGGCCGTCATGCATAACAAGGACCTTATCATGTTCAAGCTACATCCAAATCTTAGTATACGTAGACCAATCTTTTGCTCTATGTTTGCTTACAGCTGACTCAATGTGATGAGTGATTGTGATGACGGTGTGATTTCGAAACCTGTGCTTTATCACTCGGTGGATAATCGCCATTGTCGGGGCGTCCATGGCGGCAGTAGCTGCATGCACGGTTACCAGTCATGAAAGTCTTAGTACCCACAGGTGCTCTTACCTTCATCCAGGATCACGATGTCATTCTTTTCCAAAATGGCCCGTGCAAGCGCAAGAATCTGGATCTGCCCTCCAGACAAGTTGGCGCTAAAGCTGGTCAGTGCATCGAGCCTACATTGACAAGTTATCCATGGTACGTACCCAAAATCTGAGACTTGATACTCCAGAGGCTCTTGGTCGGGCTCAAGGTTGAAGATCCGGCTCATCTGACAAAGCTCCAGGGCCTCGCACAACTGTTCGTCGGTTCGTGCTCCTTCCAAGTCCAAGTTGTTTCGAACCGTGCCGCCGAATAATGCAGGCTCCTGCGGTATCATGGTGATACGCTTTCGCAAGCTTATGAGATCAACGTTTGAAATATTGAGACCGTCTAGTTCAATGGTACCACCGAGGCGTTCGTCATGATGTAGGGCGCGAAGTAAAGCAAGAGTGAGGGACGACTTGCCTGCACCGGTGCGACCGACTACGGCGACGTGCTCGCCAGGTTGGATGGCGAAGTTAAGGTCGTGCAAACAGGGTTGGTCATTGGGTTTATATGAGGCAGTGTAAGAGTTGAAAGTGATGGCTGCACCCTGCGGCCAGCTTGCCGGTGGTCTAATCTCGTCGTCGGGTTGGTTTTCAGGCTGTTCCGCGGCACAAGCCCACACCCTCTCTGCAGAGGTAATATCTGCCTCGAGATTGGCGCGCAATTGGACCAGGTTGTTGAACTGAGAGGTGATTTGAATCTGATAGTTCATTACCAACCCCAGAGTACTTGCTGGCGTACGAAGCCAGAGGAGCAAACCGGCGGAAAGTAATTGAATAATGCTTTGACCCATCAAGTCAGTCCCATAATCTCTAAGCAGCTGTGCGATGAGCAATGAAATTACCTTGAGAGAAGCTGCAGCCGAAGCATCAGCCAAGAGTCTAAAGCAACAAAAGGAGCCCACACGCGGATGTGGTTGTCTATAACATCCCTGGCTTTATCTTTGAAAGTAGCCTCCTGATTGAATGTCCTGATGACGGAAGCGCCTACTCTCATTTCGGTCGCGGTATTGAGAATGGGTCCTCGAGCAAGAACTTCCAGGCGTCTCAGTTGCCTACACGCATGTAGGTAATAGGCTTGGATGGCAAAGTAGACAACACCGATGGGAGCTAAATACAGAATACTTAGAGGGGTCGCTGCGACAATGATGAGTATCGATGCCGTGGCTGTGACACAAAGGGCAACGAGACCGATCAGTCCTGCGCTTACCGCTGTGTCAATCTTGTTGATGTCATTAGTGAAGCGATTCAGGATGTCACCAAGACTGGCTGTCTCGAAGAACGAAAACTTGCTTCCTAGAATGCCCTTAGTGAGTTCGGCATGAATAGACTGAGAGGAAGGGATGATGCATAGGAAGTAAGCAACAAGCACAAATACCGACGATAGGAAACCGCCAACTAGTGCACAGACTGAGTAGTAAGTCAACTTAAACGAGTGTCCTTGAGTTTCGAACTCCTGGCTTGAGAGCTTTAGAAAGTAAACAGCTAAGATGTCCAATAGCTTGGAGGCAGCGGCCGTCACAAGAACAACTAGCCAGCCGCCAGGCTTGGCGAGCTTCAAGAACCTTAGATAGGTCCCTAGTCTCACTGGTGAATCAGTCGTGTCTGAGGCGGAGGCTGTTGAGCGAGTTTTTGATAATAAAGGCGCTGTCTCGTCGTCACCTACCGACCCAGGGGACATGACTCGGCTTGGAGCATTTGCCTTTATCGATCCATAGCCGATGACCGAAGCTGACGATACAGACTTGTCACGTTCTCGTCGAGTTTCGACCTCCTCGTCCGGGAAGTCGCTAATGTCCTCTTCATGAGCTCTAGATGGCGGGGCCGACTCTGACAATATCCTATCCTGGATAACGTATAACTTGTCCGCTTGAGCCATCAAGGCGTCCGAAGATGTGGTAACGATTTGAAGGGTATCTTTGAGGAGACCTCGCGGCCCGAACAGTTTCTTCATAAGATGGGACCGCACTTTTGCGTCAACCGCTGCAAGAGGATCATCTAGAACAATCACTTCGCGTCGGCAGTATATCGCCCTGGCTAGCCCGATACGGGCTTTCTGTCCTCCAGACAGAGCGACACCAGTTCCACCCAGTATCGTCGCATCTCCATGAGGTAGCCTACCCAGGTCTGAGTTGAGCGCGACAGCACCGAGGACCTTGTTGTAAAAAGGCCCATCAAAAGGAAGCCCAAAGGTGATATTATCCCTTATCGTACCAGAAATAAGAAAAGGTTTCTGAGGTGCATAGGCTATACGTCCTTGAATCTCGATGTCGCCAAAGGGAGGTTTGATCTCTCCGATGATGGATCGGATCAAAGTCGTCTTTCCACATCCAACAGATCCTGATATGACTAACAGAAAAGCAGAGGATGCTTCAATGTTGCATATCTGGACGAGGGTCTTGGTCGCGCCTGGGAAGGCAATGTCGCAGTTCCGCATTCTGAACCCGACAGGACCTGTTCCCGGGATATCATTCGGGCTCAACAAAACGTTGTGAGAGGCTATGTTCTTCTCATCTTTGGTCGCCAATAGAAAGGCTTGGATGCGACCGAACGAGATACGCCCGCCGTGGTAAAGCATCACGAGCCGCGGCAGAAGGGATACCGACCTCGTAATATTGAAGCAAAAAGCCAGCGCAGGGAAAACCACACTGCTGGGCAGGGAATGGCCGAGGAGGATGGATGTCCCAAACGTCACCGATATCAAGGCCGGCGGAAGGATGTAGACAAGAAATACCATAAACGCATTGAGTTTTGCAATGGCCTTGTATTTCTCGAGTTCTGTCGCACGCCGGTCATCAATCTTGCGCTCGAACAAATATGCCAACGCATCCAGCTTGATCTGTTTGATCTGCTTGATAACCTGGGTGATCAGTCCGACCCTTGCGTCCTTGGCCTCGATAAAGTCGGTCATCCGTTGCGAGATGCGGCTGGTGGTGTAGCCTAACAGTGGCATCATCACGAACTTTTGTTGTCAGTTGGTTGTAACATAGGAAGAGGGGTTAGACCATTACCGGAGAGATGGCTCCAGCTAAGACGCTTTGCCAACCCAGAAGTAGCATGAGAGCAGCCAGACTAATAGCAGACTGAACAGACACCATCCAAATGAGGTGATATTGCTCAACCAGATCAAATACCTTACCACAGTCGACCTCGATGAGAACGGCCGGGTCTGCACCGGATTCATTGCGGTCAGTAGCCGCCATGCACTCGTCGCAAAGAAGACTAGTTAAAGCGGATCGAAGTTGCACACCAATTTTTCGAAGCTGCAAATTCATATGTGCCTCAGTCGCTCCAGCCATGAGACTTGTTAAGAATAAGCTGGTAACAGACAACACGTCGTTATTCTCGATCAAGGACTGCAGAATGAAGGGCTGCACGAGAGCGGTGGCGACATTGACAACGGCTAGCAGAAAGCTGGATACGATTCCCGCTTTGAAGTTGAGCCACAGCACCGAGGCGAGGCCTTTGGAAACATCATGACGCAGTGTAGACGACTGAGAGACTGGCTGCCTTTGAGTCCCCTTCATAGACATTTTGCTATCAACTGGCCAGGTGTCATCGGCTGAAAGAGGACGAGAAGCGGCCAATTCGAGAACTGGATCGAGCCATGAAAGAGTGAATGTTGGGAGAAATGGAGCGCCTGAGAAGGGATGGCTCTGAGCTTCAGCCAAAGATGAGGCTCTGGGTGTGCCAATTGTGATGAGAAGGGATGTGAGATACAAGGCCGGAATTGTAATTGAAACCCAATCGAGGGCTGGCGCCCGGATCAATAAGATAGCCCAGCTAACACAGGATACTAGCTCGTACGCCGCCTGTAATACAGAAGGATAGTAAAAGGGTATCAGAACAACAGAGATCGCTGCGCCAATGATTACGCCGATGAACGACGCGAAGACTTTCCTTGTATTGGTGAATTCGATACCAGTCTTCACCAAGCTCGTACAAGCTACAGTACTCACGCAAATCAGAGCAGTATTGACCGCCTATTACAGAAGTTAGGTTGGGATAGACCTTGGATTCGTTACATAGACATACAAGTGCTCCGATTCTGAGGTAGCTCCGTTGGGAGCCTAGTTTGTGCTTTGGTAATAAAGATTGTAATACTGCACCCAGGCCGTGAATGACGACAGAGGCCAAGAAGAGGAAGCTGTCCATGATTAGATCGCAGTTTAAAGAGCTCAATAAAGTTACCTACTGAATAAAGATGCCGAACGCCATGTTCAAGCAATATCGTCGACGAGGCAAGGAGATAGCCCAAGTAGGAGGAGAAGTTTGTTGAAGAAGTCAAAGGGTGCTTACGAAAACGAGCGTAGCAAGTAAGATTGTTGTAGTTTGACTCCCCTTGAGCCTGAGAAGAGCCAGATACTGGTTACTAGGTAGCCCATGTCAGAGCCGAAGTGGGAGAGGGCTGTTGAGTACCTGCGCCAGTAGAAGCCTACGAGAGGCGTAAAGACCCAGCGTAATGCGGGGTTGCCCAAACAAGTCAACAAGAGCGCGTTGTGTACATTTTCTCGCCATACGCCATCAAAATGTTGGTGGCGGTTGTACGCTCGCAAGGGTAAAAGAAACCAACACAAGTCATCCAAACGACGGTTCCACAGAGCCTTGTCCTGCACGGCTGAAAGGAATGAGTATGAATAATCAATTATTTTGCCCATGGTCCAAGGCTATCGGAGCGAATGGCATGGTACCATCAGGTACCCTTCGTTGGGCAGACATGGCTGAGTCAAAAGGATGGCAATAGCTAAGATTCAATTACAAGCGAAAGTTTGTTGAGAGATTTTGCCTATTTTAAGGGTCAAGTATATTGAATGTCTACGGAGAAGAAGTTTAGAGAGCCGGTAACCTTCCGTGGATCCAGCTGTTAATCAAAGTCAACGCTTCCTCAGGCTTATCGAACGGAACCAAATGTCCAGCTCCTGCAACCTCGGCATACGTCAAAGGCTCGTACGACTTCCACAAGCCTGCAGATTTTGTTCCGAGGTACCACGGCACAAGTTCCCTCAGTCTGATGATGGGCTGGCCGTGCCAGCTCAATCCTCGGTCAACAAGAAGACGCATGCCTGCTGCGTTGCAGTAAAGGTCTTTGTCTCCAACGTAGATGAGAACGCGGATGCCCTGTGCGGCTTGATATTAATTCACGTCTATCGAGCGGCGAAATGAAGACACTTACAGATTGCAACAGGTGGTTGACATACTCGTCACTTGCTCGCCACAGGTCACCCACCTCTTCCCACTGCTTAAACACATCCAAGGAGATGCCAACAAACGGCTCATTTTCAGGAACACCGAGCGCCATTTTCACATCACTGCGGTTCAGGTACTCGTCAATGTGACGCATCTCACTGTAACAGGAGTCTGGGTCATGGCACTCGCGTCGGAAGTCATAAGGGTTGAGGTGCATGTCTTCCACGACAACTTTGCTGATAGCGCTGCATTTTGACTCTGCATCCTTGCAAGCGGAAGATTTCATGCCATCAACTTCACACACGGCCAAGTTATCCTCGCACCACATTGCTCTAGGTGCCCACTCGAGGCATTGCGACGAGTTGAAGAGGCTAGCTGGACCTGAACAGACTGTTTCAAAGAAGCCAATGTTCTGCACGGATCGCCGGACGAGGCCATTGCCAATCATGATGCCCTTCAAATTAATCTTAGGGCCTCGCCTTGAATTTGGAGAAAGGTTGGGACCGTCTTCTTGAACCATCAGCGCTCCTCTTTGTCCACTACTGCGACTTTCAGATCTAAGTATGGTTGAAGCGAGGGCCGGAACCCAGGACCCGCCATATGACTCGCCCGCAATGTAAAAGTCTCGGTCCGCGAGCTCGGGAAAGGCAGTCATGAACTGCCGGAGGAACCGAAGCATGGCCAGCGATGAGTCGCGAAGGCCGGTCGGTATCCGTTGGCCGCGGGAGTAACCTACACCAACGGGCTGACTAGAATGGAGATTTATTAGCCCCGGCATGCAACATGGTTGATGCGCACATTTTTTACTCACTCAACAAAGAGGATCGTGGCATTGACGTTCCACCCGAACTCATTGTCAACGGTATATCCACCTTCGCTAGCGATGCGGCATGGCCCAAGCTCCATGAGGTTCCCGTAGCCGACTGAAGAAGCACCAGGGCCACTAGAGTAGAGGTTAGCGGACAGCAGATTTTGGAGAACCTGGAGAATCATACCCCGACATCCAAAGAATCACAGGATCTGTTTTGGCATCATGCTTGCTCTCAAAGGCCCAGAAGAAGATGGAATTGTTGCCTCCTTGCCCGTCGTCGGCTGTAATGAAGCCAGATGTGCCCGGAGTGGTGCTATTGCACACCTTGGCCGTATCAGGACTCAGCCGTAGGGAAAAGGGCTCGACATCTGACAGCCCAGAAAACGTCGTTTGCAGACGGGGCCGAGAAGTGAACGGCGAAATTGCCGCCTTGGCCGAAGTCACCAAAGCGATAAGCGTCAACAAATGAACTGACAGCATTGTACGATAGAGATTCGTCCATCAATCTCCAAGTTTGAACCCAGTAGCCGGCAATGTGAAGGTGGAAAACCTCAACACTTAACAGCCAGTGCCAATCTCGCCCCGGCTCCCCGGTCAGTTCCGGAAAAGAAAGGCTAAGCCGCAACGGGTGCTCGGATGCGCACATCAACCCCGAACGAGACCCTCCGATCATCACTTTAGTAACTCCTAGCGCCAGTCATGCATGTGAATATCCCTTGAGACTTAAGCCCTCTGCCATGTGATGCTTCTAGTTATCATAGAGATTTTCATCGGCATCATGAGGTTCTCTACGGTAAACACAACATTGGTCTCGGCCACCGCGGTCAATGCCGTCAGCTCCCAGCAGCAACAACCACTTGCAGGAGCGTCGGCAACGACAGCAAGCAACTTTCGTGTAAAAGAGCAATCCGCAGCCCTTTGTGATGCTGGTTCGAGACACTATACAGGAACAGTCAATATCACGACTGAAAAGTCCATGTTCTTCTGTAGGTTCGACTCCCTTGGAAATGGACCAAGTGCCAACTAACTTTCTAGGGTATTTCGAAAGCCGCCACCAGCCAGAGACAGACCCATTGCTTTTATGGATGAGCGGGTAAGCGAAATGGCAAGATGCTTGAAGCGAAAATCACTAATTGTGAGAACTAGCGGGCCGGGTGCAACTGGAGAACTTGGCTGTTTTGTCGGTAGCGGCCCGTGTGCAGTCAATCAAGACGGAAATTCAACGAGACGCCTCGATTACTCATGGACAGATCGTGCCAATGTCATCTATATAGAGTAAGTCCCTTCCTCTATACATCGCCGCAACTTGCATTCTAGCTAATACTGTCCCATCCAGCCAACCCGTTGGGGTCGGCTTCTCCGAGATCACGGAACGTGATTTGATCGCTGTCAACCTCTTAGAAGGCGCCCGAGACGTTTACTCTTTCCTCTCCACCATCTCTACCGAGGTATTTCCACAATTTGCAGGCCGTCCATGGCATCTGACTGGCGAGTCCATGGGCGGTCACTATGTCACTGGCTATGCTCAGTATATAGCCTCACTTGAGCGCGAAAACGCGGCACTGGGCATTGAACCCCGGATCAACATTTCGTCGATAGTCATTGTGGATGGATACATTGATGCCTCACGTCAGACTGTTGGATACTATGACTTCTTCTGCGCCGACTGGGCAGCCGACGGGCGCAAAGCGCCACTCATGGATAAAACTATGTGTGCGGATATGTCTGAGGGTGTTCCAGCGTGTGAGTTGGCAGGGGCCCAATGCCGGAGCAGCTACGATGCCATGGCATGCCTTGCGGCGATGGATGTGTGCAATCAGACGGTCGGGCGGTACTTTATCGACGAGACTCGCCCCGGGGGTTGGGATCCTTACGACAGTCTGTCTCAGTCTTCTTCGTCGAGACCGCAGTCAGGACTTGGCTAATCTGTGCTAGGCCGTCACAAATGCGAGACGCCTCCTTTGTGCTCAAACTTCGCCCATGGTCATACATGGGAGTTCTTCAATCAGGATTGGGTCCAAAAAGTACTTGGATTCCCAGACTTTCCATTTGAATTGATCGACTTTGACACTAACAACCGCTGGGTCGAGGCCGGGTATCTGAACCTACCGGTGACGCGGGAATTAACCTGGATTCTAGACGAAACAAACATCAAAGTTCTTTTCATCAATGGAAATAACGATATAATCGTGTAAGTTCTTGGTAGTAAGCCCGCCAAGGAAGAATAAACACGATGCTAACGGAGGGTCCACAGCAACACACCAGGTCAGATGCGTATGCTGGACGCACAGCCTTGGAAAGGTCAGGCGCAGTATCGAAGCTTGGGCTACAGAGAATGGTATTATAAGAATGGAGAGCTGGCACACCGTGACGAAAAGGGGGTGAAAAGAGGTGGCTTTTGGAAAGGGACTGGCCGCCTGCAGTTCTACGCCATTGATGAGGCTGGGCACTTTGCGCCTCATTTTCAGCCCGAGTCAATCGGAGCTGTGTTGAGAGGGTGGTTGCGTCAGTAGACACGGCTAGGCTAATGCTCTTAGCTTTTGTAGATTGGTCTGAAATGTTTCTCATGTCATGTTTCGTATTAGTCCTAAACATCTATGCAGATGTCTGTTTTTGCCTTATTGCAATGTATTGGCGATTGAGGCAACAATATATCAATAGACCACACAATCCCTTGAATCTGGCTATAAAAGGAACCCAAAGTAATCAATCTCAAGATCTGGGCGCCGTTCATCGAATACTTGTCTCTGACATGCTCACAAATCAGAAATCGCTGGTACGAGGTCGTTAAAATACCTCCCATCCGCCGTACATCCGATAACAATGAGATACTCATCTTTGCCATCCGAGAACAACTTTTCCTTTGAGGTCCACTCATCATACGTCAGACACGAAAAGAATATCGTATGTCCCTTGGCTATCTCCCTCTCCAGCGCCTGCTGGAACCCTAGAAAGGCGTGGAGCGGATAAAATGGTCCTTCAGAGTACGTCCTGCCGCTCGCGATGCGGTTCACGGCATCTTTGATCGAACGCGACGACACCTGGCCAGGGCAAAATAGTCCGGTTATGAAAAGGCAGCTGACGATGCCTCTTCGGTAGGCATTTTCTCTGCCATATTTGGGAATGTCGAGCCCAGCTGCAACTCGTAAAATGAGACCAACCCACGGGTTCGTGATGTCGGGAGACGTGTCAGGGAATTGTCGCGGCAGCTCTGTTGAGCGATCTGCTAAATCACGGAGCAAACTCTCGTCGCAAACGACATGGGCAAAGGCATAGTCCACTATCTCCATCGCTCTTCGGTGGCTGGAAAACCGCAGAGGCTCAATCTTCTCGGCGGAATGATCAAGCTCCAAGAATTCTTCTTGAAAATCGCTCGGGGCTTCACAGCTTTTCAGAATCGTCTTGAGGTGCCTCAGCTCTGCATATAACTCCTCCTCTGTTAAGAATCGACCACGAGTGCCTTCATCTTCCGAGAGGCTACAAATATCATGTCCTTTGAGGATGCTCCACCATTCGTCAACCTTTTTCATAGTACTAGCTGGTGTATCTCCACAGACGCCGAAACCCTTTGTCACGAGAAGTCGGTGCCAGAGGCGTCTTGCCCTAGTCCCGATGAGCTCAATCATTTGCGAAGGCGCCGCAACCTTCAACTCCAAGTTGTTGACGAATGTCTCGGTTGGATTCTCAGGGCCATAAGGAGTATGCGGTCCTTGTGCATTAGCAATCAACGACCGGAGACTAAGCCACCAGCGTATAAGACTATATCCTTCCACCAGTGACAGCACGTCGTCAAGTCTATTGAGGATTGTCACGTTGAGTATTGAAAGCGCATGGCACACGCTGCTAAACGACCCCGCTTCAAGCTCGTAGTAGAACGCAAGCATCATCGTCACCAGCCGTGCATCTAGAGGCAGGCCGGTGTCACTCTCTAGCAGCTGAACAGTCTGAGCCGTAAACGCTGTAGCTTTCGTGGAGTGAGTAGGCATAGCAGCCCAAGTGCCTCCGTAATTGTCTGCCTGTTTGCCTTGCAGGTTGGCGAGATTGGCAGCGGCTAGAGCCAATGCCGCGCAGCAGACCGTCTCACATGCGATTACCAAATCCCATAAGAACGGTAGCTCCACGGGGAAACTCTGCAAAACGCTCACTTTGAAGTGCGCGAGGTATATACGATCCTTGACAGAAATCTTTGATGGCAGACGCCTTTGCAATTTACCCACAGGCGTACGCAACTGCTGCGAAAGGACCTCGGCATGCTGGACGTTGGAGCGCCCCCTGAACAGGTGGTGATCCGTTGACGAGGGGCTGGAGGATTCTTCATCGGAGGGAGAGTTCAGTATCATCGGCTCAAGAAATGTCTCACTGGCGCCAAGTGTATTTCGTTCCGTATCAGTGCATGTAAGAGCAGCTGCGCGTCTAGTCTGCTCTTGATAGACAGCGACTGGTGACTCGTCCTGAGCCTCGCGCCCCGGTACTTGCGCATCTATTGATAGCACTTCTGGGACTCTCGGCCCTGGAGGAATTTCCGCAAAGTCGAAAAGCTGGGCAAAATCACTATTCGCACCATCAAGCGGGAGATCAAAGTCGAGCTCTATGTCGGTACATCTTGACTGTAAGAATGGTGTCGAAAAAGCCATCAGGTCTGGCTCAATGGCCCATTGGTGGCCAGAGTCTGGGGAGGGATAAGCCGACTGTGCTTCTGCCTCGATGCTGAGCTCTGGGACGCCATCCCATGTATTGTCCTGCTGGGCAAGTCTTGGAGCATGGGGCGTGCTCTCGCAAGCAGTCGCCGCGCACGCAACCGGAGACTCATTCCCTACTTCGCAGGCAGGAACATCATCCTGTGGCGAGCTGCTGCTCCCATGATTCATGGCATCCAATGTACCCAGCCGCGATTGGACAATGCCTTTGCTAGATTCGACCTTTTGCGCCGCCCACTGCGTGGACTCTCTGAATTTGAGAGCGACACGCTCATATTGACAGTCAGATTCATTTGCTACGCATCGGCCGCACTTGGGCTTGCCTTCGTCGCACTGGTACGCACGTAAGTCATGCATTCAGTCACACGCGGTGCGAGACTGACCTTTCTGCGCTTTTGGCGACATCGGGCACAGCCGCCTCTGCTGCGCTTGATGTCCGTCTTGTTGATCCGCGTAGGTGGTGGACCGTACATGAGGGCAGCCTGTTGTCGAATGTCTCTGCTTGTCTCGCTCTTGGTAGAGTTACTGTTGTAGTTTGTAGTCGCTTAGTACCTTGGTAACGATGCAAGAGGATCGCTTGGCCGAGAATTCATGGTTCGTTACGACAATCAATTTCCCCGCCTTCTAAAGCGCAGGGGCTTGAGCCATAGAGATAAGGCCAGTCCATTTAGGGACGATTTGTTGGAGGGAAAACACCATCACAGTGCGGCCACCCTTCCTCACTGTTTCTCCCTACTACCCTATAGCATATCTCTATATAGGTATGTACCTTGTGACAAAAACACGCCTGTATCGCGACAGCGCAAAGAAATCATCTGAACACATATATGTATAAATTCTCATAAATGATTAGGTACCTTGCTACTCGGTAGGTTGCTCTTTTAGTTTTATAACGACATCGGTAAGACAAAAAGTACGAGAGGGTTGCCAAAGAACCTGTCGATAGCTGACGCACCCAAATTTATTACTGAGCAATGCCCCGCCGGGAAATTCGGTTTCTGTACTACACTCCCTTAAAGTTACCTTGCTCCTAAAACTTACAACATAATCAAACTGGCCTTGACCACCAGCAATTTGCACATCAGACGCCATGATCCAAGATTTTCCGCCATCGGCTAGAGCTTCTGCCACACTGAACCAAGGTCCCGCCTGGGATCTCATGGAAAAGGTCAAGCTCCGGCCGAAATATGACGTTCAAGAAAGACCGCAAGGCATGATCAATCTCTCGGGGGCCGTTAACAATCTCATGCAGGACTGGATGAGCATATACGCAAGAGACAAGCTGCAGTTTCAACCAGAAGCACTCGCGTACGGACCTTTGAGCGGTTCCCAAGGCCTTCTCAATGCTGCTGCTGGCTTCTTCAATCGATTTTTCGACCCCATAGATCCAGTCAGTATTGGCCACGTCCTGGCAGCCAACGGCGTGACTTCGCTGATCAACATGATGGCATGGACGCTCTGTGACGAGGGTGATGGGATTCTGTACACCACGCCAAACTTCTACATGCTCGATCTCGACCTCACCATTCGTAACAATATAACGCTCCTCCCTGTCTCAACCACCAGCCTCAGAGATCCATTCCGATCGGGTGAGCTTGTTGAGGCTCTGGATGCTGCGGTCCACGAACACTCGAAAATGAAATTTCGGATGCTTTTCTTGTGCAACCCTTCCAACCCTCAGGGACGATGCTATTCGCGAAGAACTCTAGACACACTGGCGTCCTGGTGCGCCAGACGGCAAATGCACCTCGTCGTCGACGAAATTTACGCCATGTCCACTTTTCAAAGCGAAAGCGAAGCTGGGCTCGCCCCTTTTACAAGCATTTTAAGTGTTTGTTCGCGACAAAACGTCCACTGCCTCTACGGCCTCAGCAAGGACTTCAATATGGGAGGCGTACGGATGGCATTCCTCGTCAGCAGAAACGCCCAAGTCCTCGCTGCGGCCGCGAAGCTCACGTCTGTTCATGTAGAAACCAAGTGTAATTATGCACTAGCTGACTTTTCTTGGTGGCAGATGGTTTACTTGGCTCCCCGTCATGTCGGACAGGTTTATCACCATGTTTCTTTCACAACAAGACACAGTGGAAGAGTACCTCGTCACGTATAGGTCAAGACTTGCAGAGGCATACCGTCGAGCAGCCATGGCGCTCCAGACATGCCAAATTCCGTACGAACCAGCCAACGCTGGGCTGTTCGTCTTCATCGACCTAAGTGCGTGGTTGCAGTATTTTGTGGGCTCTGCGCTAAACACAGGGCCTATGTTGAGTCCAGAACTTCGCCTGTGCGAGTATCTGATCGACCACGACATTTTCCTAAATGCGGGAGAGGTGAGATGTCCCCGGTATCACGCAGGGATGGCATACTAACCATGACCAACAGTTCGCGGGCTGCGAGCGAGCTGGCCGTTTCCGGCTTGTTTTTACGCAAGACCCCAATGCTACTGAGCTGGGAATTTCGAGGATACAGGCTGCGCTGGATCGATTGATGGAGAAGCCTGTGGCGTACCAGTGACGCGACTGCGGATAGCGGAAGAGGTTGGGTTTGGATTTGGGTGTGGCTCCAGAAACATGGGGAAGCGCATCCCCTTGCCTATTTGGGTAATCGGGTGCGCAAGAGCTCGGCCCCGAGTTGGAACATCCGTCGCTGGATGGATTGCTGAGGTTGATGAAAGAGCATGAACCAAAAGCACCTTTGAAGGCGCGTAGATAAGAACCTATATCGTTGTTAATGCTTTACCGGTGATTGTGTCGCATGATTTACCTTTGAAAAGCCGAACCTGCATCATCATGGACCCCAGCCGAGCCCATGCTGTCCCGGATCACCGAGCCCAAATTTCGAATACATGTAGTTGTCACAAGCATGATCAAATGTGGTCACAGCGCACGAGACAATCGAGTCCCTGTTCAGAAGCCTCGAGTGATAGCTGGACTACTATTGGCTCAGCGACACGTCCTCAACTTTCCCATCCACCAAGTGATGAGTCGGGCAGCGCCAAAGGCTCCGAGGTTTGCATATCCGCCGATTGCTTGATTCCCGGACGTGGCGACCCGATCCGCAATGCCGCAGTTGGCATTTCTCTCGAGACTGGTTCCATCACCTTCGTAGGGCCTCAGGCTCAACTGCCCCAGGCTCTGGCCTCTGCACCACGGGTTTCGGTGCGTTGCCTGATGCCTGGCCTCTGGGATTGCCACACGCATTTCACTGGGGCATTGAATGTGGACTTTCCAGACTTTATCCAGACCCATCCAGCCGCGATGGGGGCTGCCATCACCCGCGGTCTGCATCAGACCCTTATGGCGGGCATTACATCAGTACGAGATGTAGGTTCTTACGCCACTGAGGTGGCTCCCTTGGTAGAGAAGGGTATCATCCTCGGACCGAGCATCTTCGGAGCTGGAGGGGCTATAGGAATTACGGGCGGAAGTTGTGACGCCTGCACTTTGCCCTCCGACTTCGTCTACTCCCGCCAAGGCACATCTGGCAATACAGCTTGGTCTGGCGTTAGTTGCCTTGTTCTGGCTGATGGAGTGGATGAATGTCGCCGCGCCGTCCGCCAGCAGATCAGACGCGGCGCACGCTGCATCAAAATCGTCGCTACCGGCGGCGTCCTTAGCACCCAGGATAACCCCGAGTATCGGCAATACTCTGACGCAGAACTCAGAGCAATGATTGAGGAAGCTAGTCTTCAGAATCGTTCTGTTGCCGTTCATGCACACGGTAAAAAGGGAATCATTGCTGCCGTCAAAGCAGGCGCTCACACGATCGAGCATGGCAGCTACATCGATGAAGAAGTAGCCGGTTTGATGGTGGAAAGAGGCGTGACGCTGGTTGCGACTCGGCACGTCATTGAGGCCGGCCTGCGTAATCTCGACAAGCTTAATCCGCCCACGGCCAAGAAGATGGTCGAGATTGCCGGATCGCATCTGCGGGCGTACCAGACCGCCGTGCGCAAGGGCGTCAAGATTGCCCTGGGTACTGACATTGCGGCATCTGACCCAAAATCAGATACTGCACATGGCAAGAATGGCGATGAAGTGGGCTACGCTGTCAAGGCAGGTTTGACACCACTTCAGGCCATCGAGGCTGGAACCATCAACTCGGCTGAGACACTTGGGGCGTGTGCCCCAAAGAAGGGTCTCATTCAGGTCGGGTGGGATGCCGATTTGATTGCCCTTGACGCAAATCCACTTGATAATATTGAGCTGCTCGGTAAACCAGACAATATTCAATATGTATGGAAGGGAGGCTTGCTGGTCAAGTCCCCCCTTGGCCAGCTTCTGTGGCCACCTCTGGCAAAAGCATGACTGGCAAATCAATAATTTGTATATGCGAAGAAATTTAGAATCAAAGTATGAAAACATACTGCACTTTTGGATAGATACTGTGGTATATTTTGGCGTGAATAACTAAGCTCGCATACAGTTCGCTCGAAATGCAGTAGATGCGCACTCAGCTAACTTAGCTGCCTACCCGTTGTTGATCTGCCGTGAAATAGGCAGCAAATCTTTTTTGATGAAAAAAATATTGGCCGCTTGCGCTCTCGTGGCTAGGGAATGGTTGGCGCTCTGACTGATAGTAATTGTGCTAAAAGGTACAGTGTAGACAGGTTGGGGATGAGTAATAAATGCTGAAGGTAATTGTATGGAATTGATTGCTGAGACTATGGACTGAAATACAATCTAGCGATGGAGATGAGCTGATGGAATGACCTAGATCTTCATCCACAATAGAGATAGATCAAAAAGCTTATTGGGCCCGCGCATTATCAATGGAAAGAAACACGTTTGGAGATATTGATATCTATCGAAACGCCTTGTTTAGCTTTCTATCATGCTTTAGTTGCATCCAAGTGAGCAGTGCACTCAATCTCTACATCTGTCCCAAAAGGCAACTGGTGAACTGCCACACAGGTTCTCGCCTAGGTAGTTAATAAGTGGCATATCAGCAAATGATCGACCAGAATAAAATGTGAGTTTGAAATCACTCACTGGCTTAATGTCTCGCTGGAAGAATTCATCATATGCCTCGTTCACAATTCCAAAATTGTCCATGTTTGTCAGGTAAATGTTCATCTTCAGGATATTATCCAGACTGCTGCCGGAAGCCTTTAAGACGGCTTGGATATTGGAGAGAGCTTGTCTCTATGAGTATATGATTAGTTTGAGCTGTCGCCATACAATGCGATAAGCTACTCACCGCTCGATCTTTTGCCGTTCCTTCTACCAGCTCTATCGTGGCGCCCGGCTTAATACCAATGTTTCCTGAACAGTACACGAGCCCATTGTACACAACGGCTTGCGAGAACTGGGGCAGCGGGGTAGGAGCCCCGGTGGTGAATACTGGAGTAAAGGCCATGTTGTTTGCTGGTGAACGAAGGGTGATATAGAATAGTAGTATCCTAAGTAAAAAAGGAAGTAAGAAGAAGTTAAGCAGCCTAATACTCCACAACGTCATCTTAAATCTAAGTAACAAATGCCAACCCAATATCAGCGGACAGTATGCCCTGATCCGGGCTAGGTTTGCCGAAGCAAAGCGCCTCGGCTCACAGATCCAGATTAGCATGCACCGCCAGGACAGCCCAACATGGTTCCGAACCGGTCTCCCCCAACATGAGCGATTTGTAGAACGCTTAGAATGACATACCCAATACCCTCCCCGGCAATACCGCCCGACGCGACGGCGTAACCGAATCTAGCATATGACTTTGGCCAGCATTTCTGCCATACCCAAGAAAGGACTGAGCCAATGGCAACCGTGGTGGTCATGGCCGACCCAGGAATAGTCATTGCGAGACCAACAAGTGACATGTTGGGAACGAATGCCTCCCACCTCTTCAACTTGGGAGTCTGCATAAAGTAGCGCTTCAGTACCACCAAAGCCATGCCAGCAACTGAGAAGACTACGGAGAATATCCAGCTGGACTGGGCGATTGGAAATTCAGGTGCCAGGATGGCCTGCGTAACAACCCGCCACGCGGTAACCGAGGGGAGAGCGAATTGGCAGGTCGTTGCCGATGCATCAATGATGCAAGGGAAAGCCTTAGAAAATAGCATAAAAAGGGCGGGGGAGAGGAACACGGCAAAAAGTGTACCCAGCATCTGAGCGTGCCATTGTGCGCGGGCTGGCGTGCCCAGGAGGAATCCCGTCCTGAAGTCTTGACACAGCTCCCCAGCTTGGTTCGCGGCAGAGGCAGACAAGACGGAGCCAACGAGATTGGACCTGGCAGCGTGTTCGAATCCAATCTTCTGAACAGAGTCTCGACTAACAGCCCCAGTTATGAACTGTGAGCCCTTGGCAACGGAACCGGTAGGGTTGGTGCCAGAGGCTCCGAAAACCTGGATCACTACGAAAGCCCATAGAAATCCCAGAAAGACATTGAGGAGGACGAGTACAGGAGGCACGCCATATGTGTATTTGAGCACGACCATGGCAAATACAAAAGCCGCGACAGTGACGGATGACCACTCCCACCAGCGGACTTGGTGTTCTTTGGGGACAGGATCCAGAATCTCAAAATCGCCGAGCACCGGCGCCCCTGGGATCGGGTTTGGAGCATTGGTGTTGACGAGACGCTTTCCCGTGAGTTTTGCAATCGTATCATTCATTTGTTGGAAGCCATAACTTGCCAACTTTGCGAAATTTCGCGTCTCCAGGGCAATCGTTGCAATTGAGGCGGCAAGCATCATGAAGACTGCTGGCCACAGAATCCAGTACCGGGGCGAGGGTGCTGTTTTGAGCTGGTCTGGAACAAACGCGTTGTAGGTGATGAGGTCTAGATTTGTGGGATCGTAAGGAATGCCGGTAGCTTCTCCCCTCGCAACAAGAATTGGCCCAATGATACCCCAAGCCAGGACTGTACCAAGGAGGTACGACAGAGATGCGTTGAGATCAATAAGCATGCCGACCCCGATCAGAGAGGGTGACCATTGCCACGAGAGCCAACCCCAGTTGACTGCGCCAATTATGCTATGCCCGCCCCAAGCGTAAATCCACCAGAAAGGATTCCATGAGTACAGAATGCCAGGAGCGTAGGAGGAAGCCACGGACCATGCTAAGGATGCTAAGAACGAGTAGCTGATCGTCTTGAGCTTTTCCCTTGCCCCCGAAACCCCATCCGAGGCTGAGTGAAGCGCTCGGATAGTGATGGCAGATGCAGTGCCCAGGGGGAAGTAAAGGCTAAGTTGGCGTGCTAGCCGTAGAATAAACATCCGCCGAAGGGGAACCGCGAAGCCAAGACCCTAGAAGCCACCGACCAGTGTCAAACAAATCAACCGCCCGTAGTCGGATTGGGGATCTGGGCCAAGGAGCTTCAGCTGGTACATTGCTGGCACGCCGCTCATGAACATAAAACCGACGCCGATGCAGCCCAGAGAAGTCGCTTGGATGATATTATTTTCATGCGGACCAAAGTCACCGGAAAGAAGGGGGATCTGGATGCCATCAGAGAGCGTTCTGTGCGGGATGTTTCATGGCGCCGACGTACCTTGGACTTCTCAAGCATCTTGCATATGCCGTATCCGAAAATAGCAGAGAAGAGAGTTGCGTCGGCCCCAAAGCCAGACTTGAGGCCTGGCTATGTCAGAATTTGTGTATTAGTGCTGAAATATCGGGGCTCCTACCTAGGTATAAATTTGAGCAGGCAATCAAAGAGCCAAGGACACCGCCAGTCAAGATAGCGCGGATGGTGACGAGTCTGCGGTCGTCGTAAGGCATCACGCCTGGCAGCGGCTCGTATGGCTGATCCTCTTCGCTCTCAGCAGCGGCAATGCTTGCTCCATCGACGGTGCGAATGGTGCCATCTTCTTTATCTTTGTCGATCAAGTCGAGGGCGACATGGCCGTCTTTCTCGACCGGGACACTTTGGTTACCCATGTCAGGATAGGATGCCAACAAAGATAGTCCTGGGTCTAATCTTATAGATTGTTCATGCGGCCGAGATGGCTATCAGAGTAGGATCGTGGGAATGCTCTCGTAAGTAAATTACTATACTATCTGTATCGACATCCGAAGAGGATGGGTGGCAAACGAATGCTCTCCTTACCACTCAGTTGTAACAATAGACTTGAAGGCGCCACACCCTTCTTATATGCATCAGAGCGGAAGCTGTTTCCAAGTCTTTATCTTGCATACAAATTGTAGCGGATCGATGGATGGTAGCTTTCACTCTACAGGTAGAGATACTGCGCTACCCATTGTATGGCAACAAGGATTTCAAGTTATTGACACTTCCCCGTAATGCCTTATCTTGGTTCGTCTAGTCCAGGTCTAGCTTCACATACTTTACTCAATGAGGTCTGCGGATCCGCGCCGACAGGCGGGGGCAAGTGGCTAGAAAAAACAAGGACTGCAAAGTCACCTCGATAGAATTATTGTGGCAGCCAGCCACATTATGCTGCTTCTTACTGTTTTATATCGTGTAATATTAAGCAGATAATATTGCCTAATACGTAAGAGAAAGAGAATAAAGTTCAACAGCAATGGGAGATGCCAGAGCCCGACAACTCAACACAATGAATAATAATATTGCCTAATAGTTGCTCAATAATTTATTATTGATACTATCATTAACTACTATCTATCAGTATCGTGGCCTGTATTGAAAGTTGGGACAAAGACACTTTTGCAGTCCCTGTTATTCTGCCGCCCACTTGGGGGATCCAGACCTTGGCCCGCCGCGCCAAAGTGAATGCTGGGGCTCAACCTCGTCCTAAGTCACACATCGGTCTTGAGGCGCCTAACATGGCGTATGCTTTGAATTGAGGAGGAGGTTCGAGCGAGTCTCTGATTCAAAATACGCCTCTGGATATGATAGGGAATTCCCATGCAAAGAATCCGGAGTTCTATATAAGACAGGGATATAAAGCTAAATATTCTATTAAATATAGGGTAAGGTATATATATAACCTTAGGTCTAGTATATTGATATAGCTAAGAGATTGTTAAAAAACCCATAGAAAGTGGATCATTAGGCCACCATTGATTTAAGTTAACTCCAGTAGATAACAAGCTAAAGAACACTCCGAAATTCTTTTCTCATCCAGTTCCATCGGTGCCTGGTAGTGGGCGTAAGACTCTGAATAGTCGTTCACGGCAGAACGGACTATTTCCAGTTGCTGGACGCGCAGGCATGCAGAAATTATCCAGCTTCCACATGAACCGTGAGATTGGCACATCAGTGCGACGAGTAATGAAGCAATACTCCTTTGGGTAGTCCCACATATAACATTCCACATATTTCATCTTTCCATCAATGAAAATTTCATCATCTATCTTATGCCGGTCAGGTATCTGTTCTCTACTATAAAGAATATCAGCGCGGTACCTGCCATCACTTTTTCTTCCAAGTTTGTACTTGGCTGGGAGCCGTCCTCCCCGGTCAATCAACCATATCCGAGTCCACCGAGGGATGTACGCGGATTTCCAAGCCCAGCATGCTCTTAGTACCAGCCCCCTAATGGATGGTTCATAGAGATGCTCGAGCATAGAACTATAGTTGTTGTCCAAACCATCATCCCAGCTATCGTGGAACTCAAAGGCAATGTTGATACCCGAGTACTCAGGAAGGCAGAAGAAGGGAAGCCGAGTGAGCAAGATATCCCATCGGAGGGTAGCACAGATACGCAAATCTTCTGGCGCAAATCGGAGACATATAATATCACGCCTGCATATATTGATACAGATACGTTGATCCCGATTGTATGTCGCAACAACGGCCTTGTGTGGGGGGCATGTCGCGCTTTCATCATGTACAGGCCTTCTCTTCATATTGCTAAGGTGATGGAGAAGCACCGCGCGAGATTCCCTGCATGCAATTCGTAGGCTAGCATCCCAATAGTAGAGAAAACGATTAGTCTTCGTCCAGGATTGTGACTTTTTTGACCTCGTATATAGCTTAGGGTAGCGCGTGTATGAGGGTTTCCCATCCGCATCCCTTCGGACACGTGGTTCTTCAGCCATGGTAGGCTTGTCGATCAGCATAAAACGTAAGAAGGTCTGTCGATGTCCTTTGATATCATCGTTGAACAATGAATAATAATGAATTCTCGGGGTGTCGTCAGAACAGATAACCATGCGCCAAATGATCCAACGTAACTCGGTTGGTAATTTGGAGAAATTTGTAAAACGATTCAAAGAATTAGACAACTCCGCTGTGCGGGTTTCTGAATTCATTTTTTTTTGAGACGGCGTGATGGAAGTTTATCGTAGGTAAGAGTTGGTTATTTTGGATATTGGAGGTAGATGTTAAGCAATTTAGATATACATGTAACCACGGGATATGGCGACCTTTTAATATTTTCTTTTGGGAGATGGGCCCATGCATCTTTCCTTCGCTATGCCCAGCCTGCCAAAGCTTATATTTTTCAACCTTAATCTTATGATCTAGACACGATGTTCTAACAAAGCTAGAGTTGGTATGCTAGGCAACTTGGGTTATGGTGCGAACTTTATGTTGGTGTCGTCTAGCGGACCAATCCTCCACTCTGCTCTAAATGACCAACCTTTTTTCTCTAGAGTTCTGATAGCCATAGGTAGGGTAAGAATAGTAGTGAAAAGGTGAGGTTTAAATGACGACTAGGGCGAACGGGGGACTCGGACGACCATTGAACAAGCTTTATGAGGCAGATTCCCTTTCTTGAATTCAAGGATGAAGAATCTCGATCCTATACGATAGGCTAAGAGGCGAAAGGTTTTATGTTAAGATCCAAACCTCTCCTATTTTAAAAGAATTTCTCCCTCCATAGTATTTGTCTACCACTGGGCTTTAGCACTATGTATTAGCTAGATAAAGAAAATAAGCCACGGGTGGGTGAGAGAATGTGAGGGCAAAGTAAATAACAGCAATGAAAGATGCCAGACCCGACATCCAAACACAATGAATATGTGACGCCTACACTTTGCCATCCGATTTTGTCTCCTGCCAAGATACATCTGGTAATATAGCTTACTCTAGTATTAAAATTACATTATTCTGGCTGACGGAGTGGATGAATATCGCTGTCCCGTCCGCCAGCAGATAAGACGTAGGGCACGCTGCATCAAAATCATTGCTACTGGCGGCATTCTAGTATCCCTTACAGTAAGGTACGTTTAACTGCGAAAGGTTCGGCTACTAAAGTCACCTACTCTAAAATGATTAAGGTGACAGCATAGGCATTCAAAAGGTTGGGTTACTGTGAACATGGTCCGTTCTAAGTTTAAGTTTGGCTTCTTCATCTTGTAATTTGCCAGCACCCTATGAAAGACTACTGGCTTCTGCTCCAGATTCGACAATCTCTACGGCACAGATAGCGGATACGGCAGAAAAAAGACCGTCTCCCAACGTATATTCCCCATTCACCCATGTCTTCAGCGTTCAAGCACCAAGTAGCGAGACATTTTATCGGCGTCATGCTGTGGCTTTATTGCATGAATAATCGTGAAAACTACAGTTTCTGATTTTGATACCTAGTATACCCCGAGTTAGAGCATTCTTTAACCCCGTGACCTTGTAGAAAAAACATTCACCGTCTAAATCTATCCAAACCAGGTTGTATCAATAGAGCGCGGGATACTAAGCACCATAGCCATAGAAGCGCCTAATCTCTACTATCTTCAGTATACTTCCATTCTAAATATATAGATATTCATACTGAGATGAGCCATATGCCTGAACCTCGGTGAACTGCGGGCCTCTGAGATATCACACACAAAAGCTTTATTATCATGGACCTTAGCCCATGAGTTATGTGCTAACACCAGCATCTCTTTGACGAGAAGGAACTCTATGCCCAAAGATTAAGAGAACAAACGGAATTATCCCTACTAATAAGGATAGAAACCCTAATAACGACGATGCCCAAGGAACCCCGAGGTTCTGGTACATCGAAGGCGCTCCAAGAGGAACGAGGATTGCACATATTGACCGAAGGCAGGCGGCTGCGGCATGCGCAGACGCGGAACCCTCACGGAATATATCAGTTATGTAGTTTAACATACTCATAAATATCATTTGAAATGCGAATCCGATGAAAACACCACCGACAGAAGCGAAAATAGGCGAGTTTCCCGCTCGAGAGATCCATCCCAACCAGAACATGCCGATTACCATGCTGCATACAATCAGCTCGTGATCTCAAACAAAGCCCATTTCACCACCAAACCTACCAAGGAGATGCAACGCAGGCGGTGGGTAGACGGCGATTAGCCTCAGACTGGGCCCATTGCTTCCCATTCTGTCTCGAGGTATGGTACCAACTGCTGTACAAGAAAAAGACCGGCCATGCCAATCCGGCGCCGATGATAACTTTTGGATAATTAGCATTATGATGAAAGATCCAGGAGTTTCATGACTACTCACGAGGAATATAAGCCAACCCCGCCATGCTTGGGGACAGATTATACATGTCTGGGCCGTATTAGATTAGTACGTTCAAAAAAAAAAACCGAAATTGCTGATTGGTGCCTGAATACCTTGGAAGATTATGGGATACACTTGGAATATAAGATAGAGAATTGAATATGCAAGAGCGAGATAAATCGACGACATAAGTAAAATCGGTTCGCTGGCGATTAGGATAGCAGGACGTAGGAATATTTTTCGGGCGTCAAGCGGCTTTGGTTCTGTTAGTATCGCCTCCTCCGAGTCACAGGGTTCAGTAATGCCCCGATGAGCTTTCTTTCGGAGAACCGGTGCGTACGTCTCTGGCAACATTAAAACCAGTGGGATTCCGGGAGCCGCCATGATTGAAGCGGCCCAGAACGGCCACCGCCACGAGAGACGCGACGCAAAGCCTGATATTAGAGGCGCGGCAAAAGCACCCCAGGTATTAAGAACCATGAAAGCAGCGATAGATTGTCCTCGCTTGTGAGGATCATCCAAAATGTCCGAGTATAGCCCGCCAACAACGGAAAAGGGGGCTGCAGCATTGACGCCGGAGAGAAGTCTGAATGCCAACAGAGCAGGGTAGTTAGGGGCGCCTGAACACGCCAACATAAATACGAAGAAGCCAAGATATGACAGAATCATCACTGGGCGACGCCCGATGAATTCGCTCAGCGGACCAAAAATTAACGGCCCCAGGATAAACCCAACCATATTAAGCGAGTTGAGTAGAGCAAGTTGCATTCTGTTGGTCAACCGAAAGTGCTCAGATATAGCCTCGTAGGCACCTGATGGGATTGATGTGCCAACGCTGCAGTTGAGGCCACAAAAAGATCCCGCTATCAGGACGAGAATTTTAGCCGTCTGCCAAGTTTTAAGGTTAGTATATTATGGCGAAGCTAACTTTTCGAAGACATGATCCAAACCTACGCGAGAGAACTTTGGCTTGTCCTCATCCAAGGCATGGCAAGTGGATATGTGAACCGTTGTTTCAACAGCCTTTTTTCTTTCCTTGTCTGATCCAATGGGAATGTCATCTTGTGACGAAGCATCAATAGTGTCGTTCGGCATCCTTAATATCCCCTTGAATTCGACGGCCAGATATAGGGGAGTTACCTTAGCGACTTTCTCGTCTTTTGTATTTCTGTTCACAGCACCTTACTTCCTATATACTCCACTTTGGCTGAGCCTGCCCGGTAACTGTTGATATGAGTAAGCGCCGCTATTGGTGAGTTGGACCGATTTGAGACCCGCAACTTCCGAACTCAAATCCTAGCGCCGCAATTGGCTAGAATTACCGATCCTCAACCTCCACCCTCGAGCCATGACTTCGACTCCGACACCGCAGTCTTCTTTCTTTCTTGCATTAATGTGAATCCCGTACGAAACCTAGATGCCAAATTTGTCAGCAATCATCTTGGATGAACAAACGATGTCTACGACCTCCTCAAGTAGTCATCAGGATGCCTCCAAGAGAACCAGTACACGCGCACCATATCATCTAAACATACTGTATCATTCAGGAAACTAACAAAGTGCCAGATGGGCGAGCTTGTATCAATTGCCACCAACGCAAGGTTCGTTGTGATATCCTTGACAAAGGAGCCCCTTGCACAAGTTGTTCAACTGGACATCGCGAGGGGTGTTCCATTTACGTGAAAAAACGGCATCGGGACAGCCAAGCTCGGAGTAGACGACTTATGAGTTTTCGGCCCCGTTCACGAGCCACTGATACCAGCCCCCCCGACAAGCCATCCGGTCTTCGCCTAAGAAAGCAGCCACTACAAGGCTCTTCAGCCGATATGTGCACTGACGAGTTTCAAGCAGAGGACCCAGGGAACTTCGCCGAGCTTATCAATAATGAAAGTGTCCAGACAAGAGAATTTGGTGATCAAAATCGGGTTTGCTTCGTCGGAGGGGCACTATCCAATTGTCACTATTTAATGCGGCAAACATATCCTCAGCAAATTCGCAGGAACGTTTTCCACTTTGGTGGGCGGCAATACAGTTACAAAGACACGTCTCATAATCTTCAACGTATTCCGACAGAAGCGCTTGAGAGGCCGAAAAAGGCAGTAGCAGACAAGCTGGTCCGGGCCTACTTTGATCGGATCAATTGCGGATGGCCAATTGTAGATGAAGAGAGCTTTATGTCTCAGTATGAAAAGAATTACCCTAGTGGCCCATTGCCACTGACGCTCTTGAATGCAGTCCTCATGGTCGGGGCTCATGTGTTATCTGACAAAAATGACGAGATGAAAAATTTGCAAAGCATCCTGTTTCATCGAGCCAAGACTCTCATCGACTTCCGGCTAGACCAGGACCGAGTTGCGTTCGTACAGGTCGCGCTTCTCATGACTTGGTATTCAGACGGCTTAGAAGACATTGTGGCAAATACGTGGCACTGGATTGGAATTGCCACACACACAGCCCTAGGACTGGGAATGCATAGGGACACATTTCAGTCGACGATGCAGCCACACTGGAAACGTATATGGACACGGGTCTGGTGGATCTTATTTCAATTTGATACTCTTGCATCGGCATCTCTGGGAAGGCCACAGATTTTGTATGGCCATTCTTTACCCAACATGAGTACTGAGTCGATATGCTTGCTGATATCGTACTAGAAACCTTGATGACTCCGATGTGCCTGAGCTTGTGCCGGAACACTTTCAAGGCATTCCCAACGCAAACTTACAATTCTTGATTCAACAGTCCAAGTTATGCATGATCATTTCACGCACAGCTAGAGACGGCTGGTCTCTTCGCTCTACCGCTCAAGCCCGAAACAACGCCATCGAGGCCGCAGATGAGGCGCTGGCCAGTTTCCTCCATCAATTGCCGTCAGAACTTCAACTGCGGGCAACAAATATCACAACATGGCAGGCTATGCTCCATTTAACATATAACAATTTCGTCATTCTCATCCATCGGCCACCGCCAAAAGGCGACCCGGAGAACCAAGAGGACGCCAGTTGCACACGGCTCCATCTGTGTGCTGTGGCTACAGTAGCCATCAGTTCCATTCTTGAGTCTCTTATTGACCAAGGTCTGATTTGCACATTGTGGTACTCTGTCAATCATATCATATTTACTGCAATCATCAATGCGAGCACCGAAATCGCCTCATCAAACCCACTTACAGCGGCTGAATCACAGCGCATCTTCCAATCACTTCTTACCTCATTGCGGTCGTTTTCACGATACTGGCGCTACGCACAAGGTTTGTTTCACATGTTCCAGCAGAGGGCATTGAGGTTGAAATCTAGGAGCATCATAACAAATGACCAGCCTCCTCACCAATCACGTTATGGCCCGGACCACTTCATAGCTGTCGACTCGGACCCTGCGGCTCAACAACTGCTAGCTGAATATCGGACCGATATCGATCAAGTGACACCCTTGGCTGATTCAGCCTACGAGAATGGTCCGTCGTGCTCGGACTACACATGTTATCTTCCTATCACTGATGATGAGATTGAATGGAACTTGCTGAGTGCGGATGAAAGTGCTCTCTTAGACAATATGTTTCCCTTTGATTGCCCTCAAGTTGATAGTTTTCTAAACCAAGTTTTTAAATAAGATTTCCTGGATTCGATCTTTACTATAGCAAGGTAAATTGATTATATCCTCACTTAACATAAAAACGAAAAGGTATAGACTATGTTATCTGCTACTAGTCCTTAGACGCCTCTAAAGAGTCTATTCATCCTCTACTTATTGCCCACGGGCTGATATACCATTTATACGTAAGAGAAAGAGAATAAAGTTCAACAGGAATAGAAGCTGCCAGAGCCCGACAACTCAACAGAATGAATATGGAAGCTTAAAAAATAGCCTTTACTAGCCTAGGATATAGTCATACGGAAAGAAGAGTCTGTAAACCTTCATACCGATGACTCAGTTGCTGTCAGGATGAGCGGCTCGTTGAATGACCATTAAAGCCACCTTCTTGATATACAATTTATAGGCATGTTTTGTCCCGAAGTCTTAGAGCAAGCTTTGCTAGGAGTCGTAAGTATAACTGCTATCTTTAAACGATCCTCTAGAAAACTATATATTTAGCATAACTACTATCTCCTTAAACGTGTGTTTAATAAAGGAACAATAGAAATATCTTAGACTTTTATATTAGTTATTATACTCTTATAAGGAATTTAGTTACTTACTATAGTGAAGTCTTAGCTTATAGAGATTGTAATATTAAGTATTACAGTTATATTTTAATGAAATTTCTTTTGAAGGAAATATATATATATAACTATATGTATTCATTTAGAATATATAGCCAAGTGATGTATTAAACTGTTCAAACTGTCTCGGCGCAGATTTCAGACAGGGTAATCATTCGATCCCAATACACATCATCCACTGCTCTAATCTCAGCGTTGGGCGTAAACTCCATATACTGCTTGATCGTAGAGCACTCCGATCTTAGTGGTGCGCCATTCACCAAGGGTATCAGTGACCGTGATAGCCAGTCCCTGGCTGCCACTGTTTCGTTTTGTTCATAACCAAACCGCACCAGATACCACCAGACACACATGTCAACGGAGTGTGTCTATCTCCAAATTTTAGCATAGAGTCCACTTACATCTCTTCTTTAAGATAAGGAGAATAACTTACCACGCCTAGTTCAGGAGAATAAAGCTTAGATATGCATTTTGCCCGGAATTGGCTTCGATATCGAAAAATGTTGTGCAATGGCACACCGACATCTGCAAGTGTCTTGACAAATGCTCTGATGGGAGCGCGAACTTGTACGTCTGAAGTGATGAGGCCGTAGGTCTGGCCCACTTCTTGTTCTCTACACATGCCGTAGCTGGCTAATAGTTTCCGGCAAATTGCTTCAGGGTAGTAATTCTCTAGAGACGTTTGCAACGTTTGTAGAGAGGAAGGAGGGTTAATTAGAGAGTACATATGGTGCTCGAAGAATGTTAGCCGCGTACTTTTACCACTGCCATAGATACTTAACTGACTTCACTCTCCGTTTCACCGATCATTATTCTCATTCCTCGGTCTTTGAACAGTCTAGCCACGGTGCCATCTCTCAGCAACTTGAGCATATCACCAGCAACAAAGTCTCCATCCGTCACTGGACGGAATGTGTCTAAACGCAATGACGAAAATTTCGCGATTAGATTGTTGGAGGGTACATTGCGGAGGCGATCAATCTTTTCCTGCACTGATAGCAATGGATCAATGTTGAAAAGGTCGAAAACATCTTCCAATTGGAGGTTCGCTGCGATGTTATTAGCTTTAACCCCGAATCTCCTTAGACGCCAAAACTTCACATTCTTGAATTGATTTAGGTTGCACCTGAGGTTCAAGATGGTCAATGATGTCCATAGCATTATGTTCTGGCGTTCTCTTACTGATATCGCATTAGAGCACATGAAAATATTACGAAACAACGGCATTGATCCGCTTCCATGGAGCAATTCATATTGTAACTGGTAGTGAGCTGACAAGGCACCGGCGCTGAGTCCTCCGAGGGTGATCTGATGCGGATCGCCTCCGAAAGCTGATATGTGGTCTCGCACCCATTCCAAGGCACACCGTTGATCCTGTTAGTCACAGAATAGTCAGTTAGCCTCATCTTTCAATGCCCGCAGTCATGCATCGCTTACCCAGAATCCAAAATTGCCGTCGATACCTTGCCCCGCTAGGAAACCGAATATATTGAGGCGATAGCCTACCGCAATTACAATCGCTCTCAGATCAGCACCAGCCTCATCAACTAGCTCCCAAGGATCACTGTGCGGCGAGTGGCAGGGGTTTCCCATTTGGAGCCAACCGCCGTGCAGCCAGACATACACTGGCCAGCCGTCTTCCGATTGCCGACCAGAAACCGGAGTCCATATATTCAATAGGAGACAGTCCTCGGAAGCCTGACCAAGCGTGAGCCTTTTGCTTGCCAGCACGATTGGTAGATGCAGGTGTCTTGATGGATATCTTACCGACGCGCCTTGAACAGCTGAGAGATTCTTCCCGTTCATCATGTAATCCGGTTGCGGACATATAGGTCCGAAATTGGTACAGCCGTAAGGGTTGCCTTCTGTGCCATAGGAAAAATCATCAGGCAGAGGAATGGTCTTCTGCCAACGGCGCGGCCCAACAGGCGGGAGGGCATAGGGTACCCCTAGAAACCTCTGGACTGAGGTCCCGTACCGTACACCGCGTAGGCTTCCATGACCCGGGATGGGAAGAATGATATCTTGGTGCAAGGGCATCTCCTCAGGCGGTTGTATTTGAAATACTCAGGAAGTCGGTACGTGTCTGATGTGGCAGTATAGAGGCTCAACATGAAATCAAGTAACAGGAATACAGTCAATTCTCGAAAAGCGACCGAACGGCATGCGCCGAGAGTTTTCCTCCGCAAGCTTTCTATTGATTATTCACTAGATGACTAGTGGATTGACAGAGGTGCCATTCGCGGATTTATCGAAAGCCAGGTAGGCTAAATTCAATTCCATCAATGATTGGTGCAGCGTTTAGGGCGTTAAGATAAGAGCGTCTAGAGCGTTATGATAGGCGGCATGTCTGTTCTAGATAAGATCACGATAATAGATTTGATATCTGTTCCCTAATCATGATACGGCTTTAATTCTTGCACGAGTTGGGCCGGGGAATATGATGATATGGGCATGATGATCTCATTGGCTATGCCTTGCGGGCATGATTAGGGCAATTTTTGAGGCTATATTGGTCAGCGCGTATATAATAACCATCGATCCTTGCTTAGTCGCTGGATTAAAATCGGCTCGCAAACAACAATTATTGGGGTATTTGCTCATGCTCAAATACAAACTTCGATCAACAGGAAATATCCTTGATATGGCAGATAAAAAAATTGACTCGTTGAACGTCGCTAAGCCTACCGGCAATGCTGGCGATAAATGCGACGTTGAAGTGGGAGCAGTAACGGAACTGGACGAGACGGAGATATTTCTGCGTGAGAACGGTGTCACGCACTCCAAGATTCAGGAATTATCCCAGGATGAAAGCCGAGTCAAGGCTTTGGTCAGGCGCGTCGACTTGATTCTCCTGCCTCTCCTTTGCATCACGTTCATCTTACAATTCATCGACAAGCAAGTCAGTCGTAAGATTTGAACTCTTATTTGAGGCTCACGCTAAAACTATTGGATGCAGGTTCTTTCTTACGGAGCTGTATTCGACCTTTTCACAGACACGAACATTACGAGTGAAGAATATAGCTGGCTCGGCAGCCTTTTTTACTTTGGTGCGCGAACAAGTATCCAGCAATCTTGCGATGCTCGCGTAGAGGCTAATAAGAAAATAGGCTTTCTGTTCGCGGAATACCCGGCCAGCTATCTCGGACAGATCTTTCCAATTGGAAGGGTATGTTCTATCTTCGTGTGCGTGTACCTAGTGTCATTTATGTCTCCCGTTGCGGTTGCTCACTTAATTACCCGTCTCTTACAGGATTCTCTGGGGTATAACCACCATGGCCACTGCCGCATGCTACAATTTCCAAGGTCTAGCGGCTCTTCGATTCCTCCTAGGTTGCTTTGAATGTAGGATAGCCCTATATTGGTTGCAATCATACGGGGTCACGAACTAACTCTAACTAGCCCCTATCAGCCCCTGCTTCTTCATGATCATTGGGACCTGGTATATTCGAAAAGATCAGCCTTTCCGTGCTGGTATATTCTACAGCTGCAATGGCCTTGGCGTGATGGTATGTCCGACTCAGCCACATATCACTGCTCAGTAGATACTCATTGAAGACAGATTGGAGGGATCATGAATTATGGAGTTGGGCAATTGAAGTCGTTCCAGATTTGGAAGGCACTATATCTCATTTGCGGAGGTGCAACTTTACTTTGGGGTTTTGTTCTCCTTTGGTTACTGCCACAGAGCATCACAGATTGCAAACGATTTACAATCGAAGAGAGGGCAATACTCATTGGCAGGGTTGCGGCGAATCAAACGGTACATCTTGGAATCAAATGACAAGTACCTTCGCTAATTTGGAGCCGTGAGAATAGGGAATACTCAACAAGAAGTTTAAACTATACCAGGTCCGAGAGGCTCTGCTCGATGGTCAGGTTTGGTTACTATTTTTCTTCACTTTGTTCAACGAAACGATTAACGGAGGTTATGCTACAGTAGGATTATTCTCCCGCCGTTGCTCCTATTTCAACCTCAGACGTATGCTAACTGCTCTAGTTCGGTAAACTTATTGTGAAAGGAGTTGTCAATGGGGACACGCTAAAGACTGTTTTATATGCCTTTCCTTCGGGTGGCTTTCTTACCTTTTTCATCCTGAGTGGAACTTTCATATCAACAAAGTTCAAGGATAGCCGCACCATTGTCATGATATTGTACCTCTTCCCTACAATTATCGGCACGACACTCGTCTGGCAACTTCCAAGGTCTAACAAATACGGTCTTTTGTTATCATGCTACATCGTAAGCATTCACACACCAGTTCAGCCGAGATGAATCTAGCATCTTCTAAACCATTTCTGTAGATCAATTCTTTTGTTGCCTCTCTGGTTTTGTCTATCCAGATGGCGGGAGGAAATGTAGCAGGCTATACGAAACGTCTCACGTCAACATGCTTCATTTTTATTGCATATTGCGCAGGGAATATTATCGGTCCACATGCATTTGTCGGCGCCGAATCTCCGACTTATCCCACTGGATGTAAGACCATCATTGCCTGCGCGGCCGGCCAAGTTGTTTGCGTTGTCTTGTTGCGAGTTCTGCTAGTACGGAGAAACAAACTGCGGGATGAAGCGCATGGCGCAGCGGAAGTTACGATGAACACGGAAGATGCCATTCTTGATTTAACCGACTTTGAGGTACGTCACACCCAGAATCCTAAAAAACAAGCCTAGACTCACTCAAGCTCAAGAATCGGAATTTCCGATACCTACTTTAAAGGGAGCGAAGTCTTCTTCGGAGCACGACAGCGATGTTTCCTGAGTCCTTGTGGATTGCATGGATTCTAGTCGTGTCCTTGCTACATAGTGAACTCCTACCGCTAGGTCGCGACATTTTGATTATAGTGCGGAACCCCTCTCAGGTTTACAACTCTGAGGAAAGTGATTCATCGGCGAGCGGAAATTAGGGTCAATCCACGTAACAAGCCCATGCCCTAGTTGTTTACTATTTCACTAGCAGTATTCGATTGAAAAATAATGAAATGCCTGTAATTGGAAGAGTGTCTAGGATACTAGCATGAACCCACGCAATATTGTTGTGCACTTGGCTGCATGAGCATCAAGACATGTCGACAGAGCTCAAACATCTTAAGCTACATGCGGAACCATAAGGCCTCTATTGTACTAATGGTCCGGAAGTGCTCGAGACTTATAGCGAAGGTAGACAGACTCCGCTGGCCGGTTAAACTGGTGCAGATTTCTATTTATCGGGGCAAGTGGCTCAACCCTGCTATTCCCGTGCTTGTCTGAGAGTTCGAAGTCAAACTGGGAGACCAGATAGGCATTTACCATGGTCACCTCAAGCTTAGCGAGCCGCATACCCAGGCAGATGTGTCGTCCACTACCCCAGCCGAGGTACGAGTGAGGCTGCTTCATCTGCTCTGTGACATTCTCTTCGAATCGGCGTGGGTTGAACGTTAGCGGATCGAGATAAATATCTTCACTCAAGCCCGTGTTATCAACCAAGTATGCAACATAGGCATCCGGAGGAATGACTTCTCCCGTATTACCGATGGGGATGTTCTTGTTTGTTGTGTTCTTGCGGAAGGCGGTGCCGGGCTGTCCTAGTCGGATTGATTCGCGCAACGAGAGATCTATAAACTTGAATTCCGTTTCCCACTGGTCGAGACTGAGTGTGTCCAGAATGTCAGCGGGTGACTGGTCCTCGGATGCCCTGTATTTCGCAATGACACGATCAACCTCTTCTTTGACACAGGCTTTCCATTCAGAGTTCGTTGCCCAGTAGATTGGCAGATAAGCAGCATGGATAGTACTGTTGATAAGCCCGGCAACAAGTGCCGCTATCTCGAACTGTTTTAAAACTCAGCATTAGTGTGGAAGCAACAGAGTTGAATGAACAGCGGACGATCAAGAACTCACCGACACAATGTCCTGTACACTCAAACCATCATCCATAAGTCTCTGAAAAGGATCATCCACGGTCTTGTCCGATTTCTTTCTATCCTTGATGATCTTATCGAAAATCATGTACATCTTTATTCCATTCAGCATTTGAATCATGTAGTTTGTTGTCGGAAGCCAAGGAAAGTAGATTCGTGCATGGCTCGCCCTGCCCTCAAATTCGCCTATCATCCGCAAGGTAGATTCCAGAAGCTTGGGGTCCTCGGCAACCTCCCGCGCTCCGGTCGCGCGCACGGTGAGTTGGTAGATCAGTCTCTGCATGAAATCAAACGGGGCCATAACCCTCCAGTCTTGGCCAGGCCTAGCACATGGTGCAGCGATAAGACCGTCAAACGCGCGGCGTGAGTCGGCCTTGAAGTGATCCAACACACTGAGAAAGTTCGTGGTCTTGAGTAGAGTTGTAATGATTTTTGTGAATAGATGATAAAATTCGCTCGACTCAGGGGCGGGAACTCCGGTCAACAGATCAGCATTTCTGGTAGCAATAATTTGATTAGCACACGAGTCCATGGTACCACGTATGAGAAAGAAGTCGTTGACTGGGCCCCATCCCATTTCCATTTGGTATCCAACCTACCCCTGACTGATGGATAGTTCCCGGTTGTCGAAGAAAGTCTTCTTCCCTTCGGAACCATTTAATCCCACGATGAGCTTCTTGCCAACGTAAAAACTGAAGTTGCCCGTTTTAGTCGACTGTTGGGCCTCGAGATACATATCTCGGCGACTTTTGTAGAAGCGCCAGGCGCCCGCAATAGGCCAATCATTCTTGGTCCATTGCTCTGGAGCATTTGATGGTAACGGAGTCCTTGTCAAGACTTGGTGGAAGAGGGCACTGCCAATCGCCACGAGGACGCTGCAGATGATAGTGCCCACTACCTGCGGCCTCGCAAGGCCCGCGATTAGGTCATGCATCAAGAGACGGTGGAATGGAACGGGAAGGGAAGTTCGGCATTCAGCGTTGCGGAATTAACCAAGGTAGGATTCAAACCCAACAAATCAACACGTATGAAGGCTCTGATTATGCTGTATAAATTGTTGCGAGGGACAGAGTTGCGCTGAAAATGGCTGAGTAGTAATGCTGAGGTAAGTAGAATCATCTGACTAATATGATTCACATGAACTATATATCCACCCTTATATAGTATAAAAATATTAATACTTTTACACTATTTATATTTAATGCTTGCAATAATTATTAATATTAAATAATTATAGATTAAACTTAAATATTTAATATAAGAAAATAAATTCATAAAATAATTTATTAAAAAGACAAGTTTATAGAGCTTTAAGCGTGAGTCTTGATTGGACAGGCCGGAAGACACCTGTATTGCTAGTAAGCTGTCAGGCAGCCCGACGAGGTTACATCGGACAGATTCGTACCTAATCTTACAGGCCTTCGTTCAGACTTTTCATCTTGGAGCTTCTTGATTTAGACAATAAAACGCTTGAAAGAACAACATCACTTTGATGAAACGATGCAAGACCAACTCTTAAGACCAACAGGTGAGACAAAGGACGGGACCGGTTACCCAGAGCTCGACGATGTTGGCGAGCCTTTCACCTGGGACGATATTCCAGACTTCGACCTGGAAATTCAGCAGCTCGAAACCAGCCTCGAGCTCGCCGGAGATGAATCAACGCGTTCTGTACAGTTTAGAAACCTTGGGAGAGTTTATGCTAACAAACATACGGTGACTGACGAAATACTTGATCTCAACAAAGCCATCGAAAACTATCAAGAGGCTCGAAATCTGGCATTAATTAATAACCGCCCACAGACAGGTGACTTCGTTAGCCTGGCTATAGCTACTTACCATAGGTTCCTGCAAAATGGTGAAAGATGCGATATAGGCAGTTGCATCCAGTTACTCGAAGATTCTCTCAAGAGCCCTGGAGCTCAGTATCTCCCCTCGCTACACCGACAAAAGCTCTTAGCGCAAGCATATCATTCAAGGTGGAATATATCCAGAGAAGACGGTCAAGATCTCGACCGTTCCACGGTCTTATTTGAGCAGATTATGGATCTTACATCTGCAGATGATGATTCTCACACAGACTCGTTAATGAGACTTGGGGTGCTGTATGAGAACAAATTTGACAGGACTGGAAATCTAGAAGACTTGGAATACTCCTTGAAGCGATCTCAAGACGCTCTCACCGTCCTGTCCAGAGGTTCTGACAAGTCTCAAAAGCGTGCAGAAGTACTTCTAAACCTTGGAACTGCCTTTGGGAAAAGATTCGATCGCCTGGGCGACTCAGGTGATCTCGACTGTTCCATCACCTACTACGCCGACGCCGTGGAGGCTTCTCCAGACAGCACATCGCCATTAGAACGTTATGGCCTCTTGTTGCATCTAGGGTTAGGGCATACGAAGAGATATCAGAACCTTGATTCTAGAGAAGATCTAGACATTTCAATTCGAGTTCTGAAGAGTGCCGTGGATCTCGTCACGGGACATAGTGGGTTCCAAACATCCGCCAATGAGACACTAGGGACGCTGTGCCAAGAAAAGTTTAATCGAACTCAAGACCTAGCAGACCTTGATGAAGCAATTGCCTGGCTGCACAAGGCCGAGGACCCGGTACCACATGACAAGAATGTTAGAATCAGAGTCTCCAGTGGATTGATTTTGGCATTTAGCACCAGGTATGAGATATTGGGATACACCAAAGATGTCGAAGAGTCCATTCGAAGAATTCCCGAGGCTCTCTTACTTGTCGAGGACCAAAGCAGAGACTCAAAATCAGACCTTCTTGGAACTATAGTGGATTTCTACCTCTCCAAGTATGCAAGATCCAAAATTCAAGAATATGTTGAGGCGGCGATTGAATATGGGCTGCAAGCGGTTGATTTATTTTCCAAAGACGATCCGCAGCTGGCAAGAAATCTCGAGTCCCTTAGCCATACGTTCCAGATAAAATACAGAGAAACCGGGTCAGAGGAGGATTTCGAAATGCAATTGAAAATACTTCAACATGCTTTGGATTTGACTCCGGATGATCACCCAATGCGAGGTAGTCGGCTGTTCTTCCTAGCAGAGAGCTATCAGCAAAGGTTTCAAAGAGAAGACACAAAACCAGATCTTGACATGGCATTGCGGATGCTTCCTGGGGCTTTTGAAAACCAACACACGACGCTATGGATTCGGATATCAGCGGGAATCTCCCTCGCCTGCTTACTTATGGAGACTGGGGATATCCCGACCGCATACAGGGTTTCCATTGAAACGCTTGATCTAGTTTCTCAACTGACGCCTCGGTCGTTGGAGGTTTCTGATATGCAAATTCTACTAAGAAGAGTCAGTGGCTTGCCTTGCATTGCTGGGGCCCTCGCTTTGATGGCAGGTAGAGAGCCAGATCAAGTAATTCAACACCTTGAACTCGGGCGAGGCATTATATTGAGCTCCTTGAGTGATATGCGGATTGAGATGCATGATCTACAAGTCAATTATCCGGAGCTGGCACAGGAATTTATACAGCTTTCAGACCAACTAGACACCAAGCCAGGTCTCTTAACAGGGTTTTCAAACCCACGACATGATATAGGCCGAAAGCTAAACTCGGTGATTAATGAGATCCGAAAACTGCCAGGATGCGACAGGTTTCTACTTCCTCCATCAGAGGATCAGTTGAAGTCCGCAGCAATCAATGGTCCCGTGGTCATCATCAACGCCATGTATCTCCGGACCGATGCCCTGATCATACAGAGAGATGAATTTATCTCACTAGAGCTGCCAGTCTTATATAGCGACATCAAGAAATTCGCTACAAATCCAGAAATTGACCGGCAAACACTAGAATGGCTCTGGGATGGGATTGCTAGCCCAATATTAGAGAGTTTGGGCTATTCTGATATACCTACAGGTTCTACCTGGCCCCGTATCTGTTGGATTCTCACAGGGCCTCTGTCAACCCTGCCTATGCACGCGGCAGGCCACCATTATCCCGGCTCAACCAACACTGTGATTGATCGCGTGATCTCTAGCTACAGCTCTTCCGTCAGAGCTCTCATTCAAAGCCGGCAGAACACTGCAAGACTGCTGGCTTCTCGAAAGTTGGGAAAGGCTGTTTTAGTCGAGGTTAAGGAGCTCTATCATGCACCAGAAGAAATCAACGAGCTTGAAAAGTTATGTGCTAGGATGGGTTTGGAAATAGAGAGGCTGAAGCCATACCGAGAAGAGGTCCTCTTAGCCTTGCCCGAGTGTGAGATATTCCACTTTGCAGGTCATGGTGCGTCACACCAACTTGATCCATCCCAGAGCTCATTAAAAATGCAAGATGGGCCAGTAACTGTTCAAGACTTGTTCAATATGAAGCTTTACCAGAGAGCTCCGTTTCTTGCATATCTCTCAGCATGCAGTACAGGCTATACAGAAGATGAAAGGCTGGTTGATGAGGGACTGCATCTGATAAGTGCGTGTCATCTAGCGGGCTTTCGACATATTATCGGAACTCTGCGCAGGGTCAATGATCAGTTCTGCGTTGAAGTAGCGAAGATGACTTATAAGTGGATCGAGGAGCACAACTTGAGGGATGAGTCGGTCGGTGAGGGACTTCACCATGCTATCAGGAAACTCCGAGATCAGTGGATGATCGATGGTTCAGATTCAGAGCGAGCCCAACGTGATTTGGGCGGAGGAGAATCCCATGATGGTCAAGCCAACCGGGAGATGAATTGTGCTTCGAGGGAGGGCAGAGATATTGTTGGCTGTGAGGAAGGACCAATTCATTGGGCCCCGTTTGTCTACTTTGGGGTTTAAGAGGAGTGGTGATGGGTGGTGTAGCAACCGATGCAACACCCTGTCATTGTCGCTAAAAAAGTTCGCGACGATAAAGGAGATAGGGGTATGAGTCTTGGTTGTACTGGATGTGGAATTGAAAGTAGTAACAGGAAGATGCATTCTATTGAGGCGAGAAAGGATACCAAGTCATTAGGATAATCACATGACATTGATGATCAAGGCCACACATGTAAGTGCCTAGATACATTCTACCAAAGTTTCTTTCGCCTTTCTTCTTCTACTTTTTTAGACGAGTGAAATATTGATTCATCCAGCTTTAGAAATGGCTTCTTCAAACCTTTTCTGCTTACGAGGAGTAATGAATTATCAATCAATTGTGCAACGAGTGGTTTGTGGATCGTTGAAGAACCAAAAAAAAGGCTGAGGAGGGACATGTTCCACTGGCGTATAGCTTATCCAATCAGAGGCAAAACTGTGAGCTTGCCTTTCCGGTGGGCAGGTAGGGCGTAAAGGGAAGACATTGATACAGGGGTTCGTGGCAGCTAACGCGCCTCGGTTCCTTGGGGCATGTCTGTGAGGCATCAACATGTTGTCTTGGCAGTCCTTTCCGTTACTGTGAAGATCGACATAAAGCAAGGACATGGTGTCAGCGCATGGATGTAAGACCAAAGTCCATTTACAGGCTGACACCTCAGCAGGGGCCACCATATTTACGACTGTGGCAGTACCATTATCCTCCTAAAATGGCTTGAAACAATTATTTATCATTTAAAAATATACATTCATAGCCTTTGTTAAAAATATCCACCCTTAGAATTGCCCGTAGCATCTTTCAATTTAACATCAGTTATATTGTACATAGCATCTGTGGATTTTGGTTGATCAATGGGAGAGAGCCTTTTCCCAAGTAGGTTACGGGGGTGATCCAAGTACAAAAGTCCCTTAATGCAGTTCATGTTTCATCCGTTAGGTTACGCACTGGTAGTGCCTTAGATAGGCGGTGGAGCTTCAATTATAAAGGCACATTACATTCCCTTGTTGTGAGCACCCAGCGCTGATCTCTTCACAACCCTTTGATAGAGTTATTTAACTATCAAAAAATCGGAACACAAACTCTCATAATCGCCACTAATCATCAGTTGGGCATGAACAAAACCCACGATCTGGCCAGATGAGGAACAAGAGCGTGGCTCACGGCGAATTTGGGAGTCATAGAGCCAGCGTCGACGAAGCGCCAAGCAGGCTATCCTCGGATTTCGGACCCCAGGAAGATGTTCGCCTTCTAGACCTTCGTCGGGATCGCTCTCCAGCCAACCACTCGAAAACCAAATCCACAATTGGGGGGTTTGAAGCTCCCAAGACCTCCACGACATCTTATCAGTCTGCCGTCCATGTTCCCCCAACGCCTAAGCCAGCATGGCGTCCATTTTGGCTGCGATATTATATTCTCGTCCTCTTTTTTATTCTCTTTCTTTGCTGCACGGTAGCACTTCCTTGCATGTTGCTTTACTCGGACAGACTCAGGGGCTTGGGCGAAGTCGATAGAGAATTTGTCAGGTCATGGAGATTTGGTGCAACGGCTTGTATGGACACCTGTTGACAGTCTCTAAGTGGTATATATTGAATTCTAACATCTACGTGAAACAGTTCTTACACTTGTCGCGGCATTCTGGGCTCGAGTGGAACTACAAATATTACGATATACGCCGTGGACATCTCTACAATCAGACCAGGTCCTCAATCAACCGGCTTCCTCCTTGGACTACACAGCCATGATCGTGCCTGTCGCGCTGGTTCATTCGTGGAAGCAGAGGCATTTTTTCGTCTTCATCGTGATTATCGTCTCTATCATGACCAAAATCCAAGTGGTACTGTCACCTGGGTTGTTCTACCTGGACGACGTGCGGTCGACACGGGATACCGAGCTTCAGATCCTCACGTCGTTCGCCGCCACTGAAAGGTCCAGCGCACCAGTAACAGGCTCCAACAATTCCGCTACGGCTCCATGGTACAACGCCCGGGCTCTCTCCGCGTTCAACATGTCGTATCCCTTTGGAGTCACTAATCAAGCAGCGTACCAAACATTCGACGATCGCGGGACTATCGATTCGCCCATCACCGTCGTTGTGGATGCTCTGTTTACGGACATCCAATGCATTGAATCGGAAAGCTACGAAACCCAATGGGTTGGCGAACCGCCCGAGACCGAAACGGGGACCACAGATTACAATGTGACTTTGACGGTGCGATTCCCAGACTGTGATGAGCCCGTCTCCATCAAGCATAATTTTACTCTCCCTGTCCAAAACGTCACTATGTGGTCTATCGAACCGCAGACAAAAGCCCCGCACCTTTGCCCGAAACTGTCAAAGCAGTATGATCAAGTTGTATATCTCGCGGCGCTCTACGAGAGATCGGCAAAAAGGGCATCGGCTGTTGAGCTATCAGCCCTCGGCGCAGTGATATGCGCACCCAGCGCCTGGGTATCCAAGGTGGAGATTGCCGATGATGGTGCCAGGCCGAACATGACGGTGGTGCCGGATCAAAACAAGAATCCCATCGACGTAAATCTATGGAATATCCTCCCGGGCGTTGTTCCCGCCTTCACGGGCTTTTGGGCACCCAATGAATCTTTCAGCCAAGACCTAGCCTACGGCCCCGCGTTGGCAGAAGCGTCGTTTCGAGGTGCAGACATGTACCATCTAGATCGATCAGTTTTCCGCAGTGATACATTGCACCGCGTTATTACAAACCTCACGGAAACAGTTGGACCCATGATTTCTCATCATCACTTACGAGTTCCGGACAACGCTCGCATATCTGGTAAAAGGGTCATAGTGATGTCCAACCAGGTCAAGGTAACCAGAGCCATCTGTATTGCCATGACGGTCATGTTCGCCCTTTCAGCCGGATTTGCATTGTCCTTGGCAATCCATGTGCGACGCAGATTTCAACCCTGGCACAGGAACCCCTCTACGGTGTTGGGAGCCTTGATCTTTTTCAACGCAGACCAAAGAAACGCTCCCGTCAAACATCCCAAAGCCGATAGTAAATTTGCCTGGAGCCATTCTACATTCTCGCCAATCCAGTTAACCACATGGCTTCGAAGCCTATTCCTCGTCTACGCTTTGGCACTTGTCATTGCACTTGCGGTTACCTTGAGCATTTCTGAGTCATCCAATGGCTTGGTCGATGTGAAAGAAGGCACACCGGCACTTTCGTGGATGCTGGTCCCTGCAGTTGCGCTTTTCATCGTGAGTCTTTACGCCTCAGCGTCCGACACGGCCGTACGAGACAGGGCTATACTTTCCAAACTATCATCAAGACCATGCACCGCACCAGAACTGGATATGTCATTGTTAGACATGCTTGGTGTTCGAGCGTTATACCACTCGTTGAAGTCCAAAATATTTGCTGTTACTCTAACGCAGATACTTGCAATTTGCTGTGGCGTCTTGACGCCATTGTCTTCTATTCTCTTCACCGTAAAGAATATCTCTGAGGTAGAAGATGTCGCAATCGAACAGGACAGCTGGTTCGGAGTTCGTCGTCAGGCGGCCACTTCGTTCAATGTTTGGGATACTTGGCGCGTGCAAGAGGACATGGGCAGTTTGATGATGTTTCAAAATTCGTCTGAATTGAGGTATCCGGAAGGAACTTATCGCGATTTGGTATATCCTGTTGTCAAACTCAACGACGCAGTTCAAGACTGGACCGGTAATGTATCAGTCCAGTTGACCCTTCCTGCCGCCAGACTGTGGCCAGATTGTTTTCAACTCCGTAGTTTCGAGGCGAATCCTGATTACGAACTGGCTGACGAGGAACACATCATCGCCAGCTATCCAGAGCGCATCGTCTGTCCCAACAGGCCTAGCCAAGCGACGTTGACCAGAGATATCCGCATAGCATTGGGAAACGAGACTAATCCAAGATACTTCGCGAAAATAATGAGCCCGCAAGATTACGCACTCTTGGTTCGAAAGCTGTGCGAAGAGGATGACGACGAGAATAAGAACGACATGCCTTGGACTGTGGAAACATTTATGTGGGGTGCCATTTCCGACTCGAAGAAAAGCTTCGATCATATCGAGGGTTGGCGATGCAATTACACTTGGACCGAAGTCCCCACACAATTCACATACCGTTCTTCTAATAATCAGGCGCAGCTCGATTATGGCAGGCCGCCCATTTCCGATGAGACCAAGGCCAAGCCCTGGGAGCCGTACTTTAGTGCCCCTAACATGGACTTTCTCCAGCCTGACTTTTCCATTCAAAATTCGCAAGCGGCCGTGGTGGACGAAGCTTTTGCACCTCTAATCAAGCCATTCGGTCCCCTGGGGCTGGATGAGTTTGGCGACTCAAACAAGACGGACTATATTCTCAACACCATACACTTCCGTCGAGCCATAATCGCTGCTCAATACGCCAACGTCAAGAACCGGCTGAAGTTGAATGACACTTCAGACACGGAGCCCACAAACCATCCAACCATCTCGCCTAGCAATGGGTCCGTCACCAGGACCAACAAACGTCGGTTGGTACAAAATTTAGGGGTCACCATTGCCATTGTCGCGATCCTGACCCTTGCTTTCATTGGCAACCTATGGGCACTGGGCTCTACAATGATGAAACGATTCTTCGGAGTTCAATCAGACTTCCTTCTCGACCTCAACATGAAGGGTGTTTGTCCAGACGAATTCAACAGCCTCGTTTCATGGCAAACTCTTCTCTATGGAGCGGCTGGATCAACTGTACTGCCGCGAGATTCACAGTACATGTCCTCTACCCAGACTTGCAAGGAGCTTGGAGGTAGTAATTTCCAAATGGGGTGGTTCTATCAAAATGATTTGAAGGAGAAACATTTTACAATTGGGAGTTTGAACGACCCAGATTCCGAGTACATGGGGAGATTTGAAAGATAGACTGTTAAGGTCCTTGAAAGTGTATGACTACCGGAGCTGTACTATACGGGGAGAATGGTCATTTATAAGTGGCCGAGGAGTTTCAATCATGGTTGTAGTCAAGTCAGGAACAGCTCTTATAAGATTGCCAAGGAGATTCTTTGAAAGATCTCTCTAAAGAAGACAGTAAAATTCGATGTAGAAAGTTCTTCAGACGTTGACTAGTAGAATCTATTCGGTGAAGGTACGCTAGAGGTTACAGGATGTGCCTTGAAAGTAGAACTGAAGTACAAAGGTTAATTTTTCTAATACTCTTTCCTGAGTAGCTTCAAGGCAATAGTGAGGAATTACAGACTCCCAATAATCCTGAGCAGGTATGTTCATTGGTCATCAACGGCCAGGCACATGGACACAAACGGTGGGATAGCTTGCAGAGCAGTTAAACACCGGCTCGCGTTGGGTCAACATGCATTCGTGTATCCTCGCCGCTGAAGAACTTATCATCCATAATCCCAATCCATCTCGCTCCCATGCAACAGAGAGGAAATCATTTCAGGCCAACAACGTGGAAGTTGAAGAAACAGTCCTCGTTAGTCTCCACGACATCGACCAAACTGACAGCAGTCAAGATGCTGTTACCGTCCTTGACAAGCTCAACACTCTGTTTACCAGTCTTGACGCCAGTGGCAGAACCGTAGTTCAGGCCAGGATGCGCGCTTGTCTGGCGGATAACCTCGCCGCCACTGGTCACGCGGATAGAGAGACTCGACGCGTCAGCCCCAACAACGATGCCGTAATTAACGGCGTCGGTGGCGGACTGCCAGTTATCGGGCTTCTGGCAAGAAGCATCCTTGAGCACAGGCCTGTACCACATAGCACCGACGGCCTCGGATCCCTCAGGAGGGGTCATTCCAGATGCCTCGCGGCCATCTTTGTAGGCAGAGATAAATGACGCGATAAGAGGCTGCCAGCCGTAGTGAGGCCAGACATCGGTGTTGGAGTAGGCTAGGATTTCCTCGGTCAAGCCCTCAGCCCAGTTGTTGCCGATATAGTGGCTCTCACCGGCGTCGTTCTGTTATCTGGTAAGTGACTGGCCGGCATGATGGGGAATTGGACACTTACCCAGGTTAGGACCTCGACAAAGTCTGGGTTGAGAGCCAAGAGCTGTGACATGCGCTGAGGGAGGTTAGCCTCTCCGATGCGGTAATAGCTACCGCCGCAGCACTTCTTGAACTGTAGAGAAGAAAGAGCTAAGTAGACGATGTGAGCCTTTTGCTGCTTTAAACGTGGACCAGGTACTTACGGGCCATGTAGGTCTTTCCGGCAGCGTGGGCGGCGTTTTGCACGGCCGTGTCCACGGCATCGCTGACGTTGGCAGGTGTCTGACCTGGGGCGGGCCACGCAGACTCCCAGCCAAATACGCCGTCGACAACGTCGCCCCACTGCCCAAACCATGTCTCGGGATTGTCGTAACCCGAGGATGTGTCGGCGTTGGGGAGAAAGTAGACCTGTCCGTTGTAGTTGTTCTGTATCCAGGTTTGGAAGTCCTGGGGGCTGACGCCGCCGACGCTGAAAGTGCTGATGACGGGCAAATTGTCCGGTCCGGTCTTGAGGTAGGACTCGCGGTTGATGTAGTTGCTGACGAGCTCTGTGTACGCGTTGACGTCGCCGGTCTGGTAAAAGTCGAGACTGAAGAAGAGCTTGAAGCCGGTCTGGTCGGCCTTGTCAAACAGCTGCTTGACTGTGGACTGTGCCCAGGACTGGCCCGGCTGGCCGATGTTCATGGCGAAGGCCTCGATGCCGAGAGCCTGTGCCTGGTCGATGTCGAGTTCCGCATGGCCGCTCCCTTCAGTAACGGTTCCAATCTTGGATATATCGTCAGACTTCTGCAATTGTACATCTGGCATTATTCCAGTGTACTTACCATGTAGTGGGCGTAGACAGACTTGGCATCAACCGCATGGCACGTCAGCAAGACGATGCTAGCAAGAGCCTTGGTCACGTAAGGAGTGATCTTGACCATTGTCGCCAGTGAGAGGAGTCCTCGAACAAGTGAAAAAAATGCTTATGATGATGATCATATCTCGGTTCTTTTTTGGCAGGAACATGCGAAGCAAACTCCTTTATATAATTACTCAGTCTTGCTTCATGTCATACAAGCGGTTAGTGACATCGTTTGAGTTCCTGTCTGTAATAGTCCCCAGCACTCTGAAACACCCGAATATAGTAACCACCAACCATAAGATTGGCAGCATTCTGTCCGCATCTGTATATGACCCCCATAAGCCTCTTACACGCATAAGTATAACCTGCCCAATGGGGAAAGGAGCTACGGTGCTCAAGTCTTCCGAACCACTGAAGAATCATTATTAGTCTGTTCACCCCTGGCGGACAACCCGCAATCGAAGACGCGGTAGTACGTAAGGCAATTATATCTGCCGAACCGCGCGCAGGCCATGTCCCGGTCGAGGCCAAAGGATCACGACCTTGCGACCGGGCCGATTTGGTTGGCCTAATCCTTCATCCTCTCCCGTTTGGCTCAGCATTCGAAAATAGCTCCATTACCATCCGCTCAGCGAGGAGGGTTTTATCTGGCTACTGCGCCCTACTCAAACAGACTCGAACCGCAGGCCTCGGAATCCGCCTGCATGTTTCCGCCCCCATGTCCATGTGTACATAGGGGAGAAGCATAACCCATACATGACCAAGACTCCCCTAGATCCTTTGCTTTCAGCTGATTCTCAATCGAGCGCCATAGTTATGGCTCGTTAAACACTACTATTCCTAGCATAACACGGCTTGGCAAAGTGTACCGCTCTCAAGCCTGATGAACAATGTGTTGGATAGGAAAAGAGAATGTCACAGAGTAACGCATAGTAGGAATCCTTGAGCTGGACTAGGGAATTTCCCTTTTAGCCTACATAGAGAACAATTAAACTCAAAGCACGTTACAACCAACATCTTGATACAATGACTTGCTGTCGGGCATTGTGCTCATATTCCTGTATCAAATAGCAGAAAGTCCCCCTACCTAGTAATTATAGCTGCAACCATCATCGGGTCAGACCATTTGCTTGATTTCAGCTTGCGTTGATGGTATATGGGCACAGTCAACTTACCGGCTTTGGTCCTAATCCTTGAAGCACTACCTAGGTACCCGAACGAACTCTGACCCCGCATCATGACAGGAAAATCATAGGTCGAATGGTAGCTTCTTTCTATTTAATGTGGAATATGTCAATGCGCGCCGTATTATTCGCAACGGCCACCGCCGCCTCCCCATGCATTAAACCTTCGACATAACACGGCCCTAAATTGATGCTGTATCCATTCATCTCCCGCAAGAGCAAAGGTACCGGACACCCTGCCAAGACGCAGACACGATCGCCGTCCTGCAAGCCCTTGCGGCCCCAGCCAATATATCCCTTGCGTGTAACGAACGCCACATGACCCTGCATTCCACTAGAGATGCCATTTCGATAGTTCATGGCGTCCGGAAGTAAAGAGGTAAAGTTCCTATCGGACTCAAGACTCCGCGCCAGCTCCTCGGTCCTGCTGGTCAGACGCGGAAGGGCCCCCGCGAGCTCTTGTGCAACAGCGCTCAAAGGACGCCCAATAAACTTCTCTGCGATCCCATCAGGGGTAGATATACCAAGCTTTTCCTCGGCCTGTTTGATTTCCGCCGCAGCGCTGGTACTGTTACTAGTGTAGAATGTTGCCAGCATGCCTGGGATAACTGAGAGAAGGGTGGTCTCAACATCTGATGCACGCTCAAGGAGTTCATTGCTCGCAAACTTCCGGCCGCGGAGAACGAGACGCGCGAGTGCCTGGAGAGCTGGGATGCCGCCTGGGTACGGTTGGCCACCACGTGCGTTCATGTATTCGAGGCAGAATGACAGCCAGCTCCCGTCGCCAACATCGCAAAGCTCAGTCTGAGAGACAGTGTCAAAAGGTATTCCCTGCGAAACCAGAGACTCGCCGTCTATCAACCAGGGAACATCCCCATTAATGGGAATGTGAATGGACGCCCAACCTTTATCTGCCTCGTCCGTTGTGCTCAGTAGCCAGGTGAAGTCGTACATTTTGGAGATTTGATCCCAGTTAGGGACCCAAGACGGAACGAACAAGTGCGTCGGCAGTGTTTTGTTGTCAACATTTATTGGTGGCAGCTCCCAATGCCCAGCGTAAGAGAGTATCCCCAGGCTTTCTTCCACCTCAATGCTTGTGGTTGCAAAATCATAGAACACTCTTTCCACAGAGTCAGAGTAGTTGGGTTGCAGTGATTGAATACCAACAAGTCCTAGGACACTGTAGAGATGATCCCGGGGATCCGTGGCCTGCTGGTCGACAGTGGACAGAATCCATGCCTTCCACTGTAAATGCTGCTCCCTCCTGGATACTGCATCCTGGTCGCCCTTTGTTTCTTCCGACGGCGTAACTCTCCGACGCTGAACAAACCTGTTCCAGCCCATTGAGTACCAACCCACCTTGGTCGACAAAAGTCGCCAAAGGTCAACGTTGACGAAAGGAGGGCAGGGTCTGCCTTGGATGCGACGGAGCCAGTAGTAGACAGCATTGAGCTGGTGGTAGTGCATGATATTCTTGCCACAGAAGACTATGACGTTATCTTGTAATAGGATCTCCTGTACGATCCATGCCCTCCTCCAGTACGAACGCTTCATGATAGCGCCTGCACTTGTCCAGAACCGATTTAGAAATCCCCCGCCCTCGGCTTGGTCCGACTGCCACAGCTCGGGCTGCTCATCCGGCTTGACCCAGGCCATCTCGTCCGTCTTCATCGTCTGAAGAATCTTGCTGCCGATTTCCGCAAGGATGGGCATGGCATAGTCGCTGCCGTCCTCATCCTCGCCCAGATATGTAAAGGTGGCCTGCGCACGGCTATAGATGGCTCCCATGAGCCCAACCTGAACGTTTCTCTCATCCACATTACTCTGGTCAATGCACAGCGCGTCGATCCATACCGGGAGCTGAAACATTTCCGAGTTGGGCACAGCCTGGGC